AATATATTTAAATCTTATTACTTAAACTTAAAGCCAATTTGGATTTACATTATTCTGCTAAATTATTTAAATTACGACAGCAGAAAACATGAAAACTTTTGATACTTAGGCATTGTTATGGATTACTTGTACGTGCGTGCGTGTGCGTTTGTGTGCATGTGCGTGTGTGCGTGCGTGTGCGTGTGTCCGTGTGTGAGTGTGTGTGGTTAAGATGCCATTTCCTCCTCCAATACTTTTAATAACCCACTTTTGAATTTATCTTTATTTGTGTTGAATGTATCTAGGTTGTAAAATTTATTATTGAAGACACGCTGCAAGCGATTCACTACGCAACAGTATTTATTGTTGCACGAATGGGCAGTCGGGGGAAGTACCACGACCTATACACCTATATTATACTTCTGTGTTTCGTCTGGTAAGTGAGGTAACCGGGGCCCATTTTTTTAAAGGTTATCAACGAATCTGCACGTAATTAGGTGTTGTAGCATCTCCGAACGAGTCTGCCCATTTGTGCAACAGAAGCAGTTGCGTGTGCCTACCACAGTAACTTTTTACTTCCTTCAACATAGTTTTACACGTTCTATCTAGTACTTTTTTTCCTTCGAAACGTTTCCCAACAGCGAGTGTGAGATAATAACGTTACACGTGATTGAAGAAAGGTAAACGATATAGATAGCGTTTTCAATATTTTCCTCCTAAGGGCCTTTAATAATATTTTTTCCTTAAAAAGACGTACTGGAGAGTACCGGAGTAATGGAGCGCTGGAAGCTCAAGAAATTTAGAGAACAGGTAATCGGTTCTTATGATAAACATGTCATATGTCCACTTAGTATTCGCTGAGGAATATTCGCGTGCGAAAATATCGTAAACAGGTGAGTTTTACTGCAGTTTGTTAGCGGAACCTTAAATGGCTCCGCAATCAATTTCGCCTTCGCGGGCCCTCGTTTAAGAAATGACACGACACGGGCGACTTAAATTAATGACAGCGTGTATGTATCCAGTGGCGCCAAGCTGAAGAGTTTTTTTTTATTTTAATTTCGCATTGATTAATTGCGGGCAGTGTCAACTTACAAGGTAAAAAGGTTTTTACTATGCTATGAGTAGAAAAATTAGATTGTATACTGTATCGATACCTAGACTCAGCGGACGGAGTATTTTAAGTCTGCAGATTTTCGATTCGAATCCCACCTGATTTTTTACGATTCCAACTACGACAGAATATTATTATTGGTCATTATACAGGGAGGCTTTTCTAAGCGTATCCATTTTTTTTTTAAATTCTAGACATAAATAATGTTAGATAAAAAGTGATAAATATTTAAAATGAAATTCATTTATTTACGAACTTATCTCAAAGTGTGTGATTTATGGGCAACTCATTTATTTTACGCGCGATCATTCATTTATTACTTTGGTTATACTTTCTTGTATTTTTCATTTTAAATAAGATTATGAAGACGTTATAGCGCAGTCTGGACGCTCACTTTTTATTCTATATACTGGCTTCGACTCGGTAACGGCACCAATGAAATTATGAATTGCAATTTTAAGTACTCACCTATCATTACTCAGCGGTGAAGAACAACATCGTGAGGAAACGTGAATATTTTCAAAATAAACATTAAAAAAATGTTTATTTTGAAAATATGCGAAACCCGCCCGACAGTGGGTTGAGGTAGTGGACCATGCCCTAAAATTCTCTGAACAGAGGAGGTCTTTGCTCAGAAGTGGGATATGATGATGTATAGGCTGTTACTTTACTTAACTTTAAAGAATCCTTACTAATATTATAAAGGTGAATATCGTATGTATGGATGGATGTTTGTTACTCTTTCACGCAAATACTACTGAATGGATTTTATTGAAACTTTACAATAATATAGCCTATACATCAGAATAAGACATAGGCTAGACTTTATATACATATTTTATGTATATCTGTCTTTCTGTCTGAATGTTACGCCTTCAGCCTCTTAAGCGTTTAATAAAATCAGACAAATAACACTGAATATAAATAATATGTTGCTAGTCCTGAAAGATACATGAAAGCTCTGAGCTTAGTAAATATGAAATAATTCCGGATGACGCCTCCGGATACACAATAGTATTGCAGATATTACAAAACTTTGTTTGTAATATCTGCAATAAGCGTAGCTCAAGACGTAATATGACACAAAATGCTTCATTATTCCATGGTGGCAAGCGAGCAGGTGATTCTATAGATTAAGTGATCACCAAAGCTCATGGACTTGAACATTTCCAACCTTTGAGGGAGTGAAGAGAGACACACACAGAAACACCTTATTACGCGTTTCAGTGTGTGTTGCTAATTAAGCATAAGTGACTAAATATCAATAATTGAGCCCTGTTTACCTTACTAACCAGCCGAAACTCGACAGTATTTCTACCACGACCATACTACTTCCATCTTAATACCATCTCTATCATCATAAGAAGCAAGAGGCAGCCAGCCCACCAATTAAAAATCACACTATATTTCCGTTCAAATCTTGTCTTGCATTACAATTATGCTAATAAAAAATCCAGTATTCATAGAAACGTAAGAGCGATGCAAACGCGTCTTAGAAAGATTCAAATATCACCTAAGCCGAGTGCACGCTCGTCAACTCCTAATTCAAGAGTGAATTAATCGTGCACATTGCAAACTTATTTTTTATGCGAAAAGTTGCCAAACGAGCAGACGGTTCACCTGATCTTAAGTGAATACCGCCGCCCATGGACATCTGCTACACCCGAGGGTTACAGATGCGTTGACAACCTTTTGAAAATTGGGCTCCGGCTACCTCACTCACCAGACGAAATACGAAAGTATTTGTCATACTTCCACTTTACGCTGGTCTTCTGTGAGGTCGTGGTACTTACCCGGGCGGGCCTGTCCATTCGTGCAACAGCCGAGGCTGCTACGTGGTCCTTCCACCGCAAAAAAACTATTTAATTGATTTTCAATACTTACTGCTACTAGGACATTTTCTTAAAAAGTATAGAAGAGTTGTTTGAAAAATGTTTGTAAATAACTTTAAAGATAAACCTTTTTGTAAAATTTATCCTAATGGCAAGGGAATAATATAATGTCGAATACATTTAGGAAAAGGATGTATGGAAAAGACTCTTGCTCTGCGCTTGCAAGTCCCCTGGCTCCTGCTGATTATAAACTTAAATAATTTTCTAAATTTATAACGAATAACAAACAATAAGATAACCAGACCGCTGAGTTTCTAGACGGTTCTTCTCTGGACAGGTCTAGTTTAGTGAACCGGCTTAAAATAAGCATGTATCGAATGAAGAAATTTTGTCTGTGACATTGACTACTGGAAGAAATAACACAGATGGACGGTATGAGTACTCATAATAATTGTTGGGAAAAGCAATATGGCTTCCAAATATTCCAATTATAGGAAGATATTATGTTCTATCTCAGCTAACCCAAATACCGACTGAGGAAATTACTCTTATTACGTGAAGGGAAAAATCGAGCTGTCTTGGTAATGCTACGGGGTCGACGACCGCCATCAAAGTCATTAGAAAAAGCAAAAGCCTCGCAATAAATCGCAGTTAAACGAGATTTATCCCATCATTAGAAATAATAAAGGTAATCGCGGAAAAAATATCGCCAATCGATCAAACTGCAAACGGCTAAGGTGAAGACTTTTTTTTAATGCGAAAAGTTGCCAAACGAGCAGACGGGTCACCTGATGTTAAGTGAATATCGCCGTTCACGGACATCTTCTACACCCGAGGGGTACAGATGCGTTGACAATCTTTTGAAAATGGCGTAAAAGTAAATTGCGTCTGTTATTTTGTTAAAAATCACATGCCAGCGATTTCTAATAGAACCGATGGAAATTAACAGACTAGTCTTCTACGGTGGTAGGGTCACGCAGCAGCCTCGACTGTTGCACTAACAGGCAGGCCCGTCCGGGTAAGTACCACGACTTCACAGAAGACCAGCGTACAGTGGAAGTATGACAAATACTTTCGCGTTTCGTCTGGTGAGTGAGGTAGCCGGGGCCCACATTATTAAGAGGTGGCAATGCATCTGCAACCTTAAGGGTGTTGCAAATGTCTATGGGCAGGCGGTTATCACTTAACATCAGGTGAACCACCAGCTCGTTTGCCAATTCCTCACATAAAAAAAGATGCTGTATGCCTTCAGCGATCTATTTGTAAAACAAAAATTATGATGCCTTAGGTTGCTAGAGGCGGGTCCTTTTACCGCAATGAAGATATGATCTAGACTTATTCGTTCTTTACCTTGTTTACCTTGGTATGTACTGAAAATCGGGAAATCGTACCGAGTACATACCTATTTGGTTTCATGTCTTAGATACATATTCTTTTAATTGTTAACATACCTGTGTTTGTTGTTGAAACTAAATAAATATTCATTCATTTCATTCAGTTAATTTCATTTCATTTCATTGCATTCATTTCATTCATTTCATTCATTTCATTCATTTCTTTGTGAGTACTAGACCTAATAAAATCATGATCGCTACGACGATAGGTGCAAATTGGATTAAACATTAAAATTGATGGGTGCTCATCAGTAACTGCTGTTATTACCAAACAGGTTCGTTACTAATTCAGCGACGATTGATCACACAGCCATCCGCTTTCATAATCCTCTGCGGTGTGTGCCGACTTTGAAACTAAGTTTGTGCAAAACATTCATAAGGGAGCAAAAGCAATCTCAATGTGTACGTTTCACAAACTCTCAGTTATAATATGGTTTCTTTATATCGAAATTTATCATATTTAGTTTAACAGAAAGTAACTAGCTGGCAGATGCATCTTCCCTATTGCGTCACACTAGAGAGAAACTGAATAAATTAATCATAGAACCAATCAAGAGTTGTCTCAGTGATACTTCTATTTAACGCATGTCGTGCGATAAGTTTTCGCATTGCATCGAATCGCGAACGATTCCAAAATAGGCCAGGCCCGCAGCGAAATGTCCTTTGACACACCGGGCAGGCCTAAGTGACCGTAGATCGCGCCGATACGAGCGTATACAGGATGCTCGTGTGTAGCGTGTGTGCGCGTTCGCAATTCGGCGACGCGTGTGTGCGGTTGTCATTGACATGGATAAGGTTGTCGCACCGCCTCAAGGAGCCGAGAGGCGCTGGTACAGTCGGCGGCGGCCGCTCGGTACGGCCGCGGTACGTGCGACTGTACGGCGCATTGCTACCCAGGCCAGAAACGGCACATTCCGTTCTGGGGTGTACCAAGACTTCAATTTTAGTTGGGGTTGCAAAACATTCGGCAGCCGTTGAAATTTGTACGAAAATGGGCAAACCACTAAGCTTAACTGATTGCCTCGTTGACGAAAACCTCAAGTTGTTTTATCTACATTGCTCTTTCGCATTGTTATCTCATTTACAGCACAAACAATTTCAAATATCGTTTCACAGTGATCATTCGAACGAGAGATGACAGTCATCATTGCCATATTATTCGCCGCGAAAAATTCTTCGTCTATTCTTCTACAAATTATAATGTTTCATCTAAGTGCATATACTGCAGTAGCGACATAAAAAATTAAATGGTATTCCCGTCGAAGTGTGGATTATAAGAGTTTGTACGTTTTTATGATCACGTCGATCGAAAGACGCGAGATTTATGCGGTCGACTGTACCGTGTCTCGATTAATGTAATATAGCTTTATCTGCAGCATTTCCGCCAGCCGTGTCGTACTGGTCCATTACAGGCGCTGTGAGGCTGCTTTTATACAATTCGCAACGCTCCCTTTAAACGGTGTAAACGTAATAATATTGCAATGACCTTTTTACTTTTGGGTCGTAACGTAACACTGAACGGAAACATTGACCAATGCATTAACACACGGTTAGTTATTTAGCTTTAATGTAGAAAAGTAATGTTCTTTTTTTAATACGACAGACGTAGTGTACTTGTTGCCGTTACCATATATGACACGACAGTGATTTTTGCATATTATAAATCGGAAATAGCGAGCTGGCAAGTGTGACCGGGATATGAAGCCGCAAGCTCGCGCCACAAAATCGCGAACCGACATAACCTCTGAACCACCTCTGTCTTGCACATTATTTTATACTAGCTGTTAACCGCGTCTTCGCCCGCGCGGCCAAAAGGTATTGACAATGAGTTTATTATTTTACACCAGAATATCTCGCAGATGGCTGAATTTTTTCCGACTTAGTTGACCCTTATCATTACCTAAATTTTGGACAATTCACACAATATCTTTACAAATTATAGCTATATTATTGTAAAGTTTTATTAAAATCTATTCAGTTGTATTTGCGTGAAAGAGTAACAAACATCCAACCTTACATACAAACTTTCGTGTCTATAAATATTAGTAAGGAAATATCTACTTAAAAATTCGCTACTTGACTGAACGAATAATACTGTCACGTGTTCGTGTTCATAACAATACGTTAAGACCATAATTTTGTCGTTTTTTTTTTGCAATCTATAAATGAAGTTCAAACTTTTTATAAATTTCAGAAGTTTCATACATATTAATCTATCTTTTATATACGTAAGATATATTTTTTTATGTGAGAAGATCGCGGTTCACCGAATCTTCCCCCATTATATTTTAAGTTTCTGGCCAACGTGAGAAACATTTTCGTGTCCAAGGGTCGGACTGACTTGCATGGAAAATTAACAAATTTATTCTTGTCCACGCAGCTAACACCTCTGAACGGTGTCCTTTAGCTAGGATTTGTGGTCAATAAAAGGCCGGAGCCCAATTTTCAACCCTCGGGTTTAGCAGATGTCCATGGGGGATGGTATTAACTTAACATCAGGTGAACCGTCTGCTCGCTTGGCAACTTTTACACATAAAAAATGCGGTGAATTTGATGTAACTTAAATTGATCCATCGATACAACAAAGTCGAGCGCAAACGAAATAGGTGTAAATAATAATTTTCATTTGCTCTTTTCTGTGACCGGATATGACGCCAAATACTTCTGTAGAAAAATTATACTCCCAGCGCGATTGTAAGCGCCATACGGACGCTGCCGTCCCAGTTAAATTAATTCAGCGATTTTCCAGCCAAGTCGTACATTCACTGATCGTGGAAAGGGTATAGCATTGAGCTCGAGTAGACTGCATAACGCATCTACAACACACTAGTAACTAGGTCGACGCACTACACAAACAAACATCCGATAAAGTGGAGGCAAACATAAGCCGCGACGTTAGAGATATGTCCACGAGAAGCGTACAGCGCCCGACGTAAACATATTGCATTACTTATGCAACGGACATACTCTCGACTCTTCACACTGGACGGTTAATATTTTTTATGTTATTTGTTTAGTGACAACCGCTCATGGGCATCTGTAACACCCGTGGGGTTGTAGATGCGTTGCCTTCCAATAAATGGGCCCCGGCTTCCTCACTCACCAGGCGAAACGGTGAAGTGTTAAACTTCCACATCACGCCGGTCCTCTGTGTGGTTGTGGCATTTTGACGGACGGACCTGCCCGTGCGTGCAACAGAAGACTAGCGTGGCTCTACCAGTAATGTTTTCCAATATGTTAAATTTTCCCATGTGCATGTTATATATAACGAAGACATCCGCAGTAGAACCAAAGTAACCGACATAGCTCAGAGGATTAGCAAGCTGAAGTGGCGATGGGCCGGCCATATAGCTCGTAGAACCGATAACCGTCGGGGAAGAGAGGTTCTCGAGTGGCAGCCTCGTACTGGCCATCGCAGTGTGGGACCCCCCCACTAGATGGAGTGAAGACCTGTGCAAATGTGCGGGAAGTCGATGGATGCAGGTGGCTCAGATTCAGCAGTGGACTCAAACAGGCTGAAATGATGATGATGATGATGATGTTATATATCCGTATGCCGTGGTGTTTTAATATTTTTCATATTAAAACGAAAGGACTTAATTCACCTTGTTCCCAGACGTTCAACCTATGTAGTGAGATAAACGGATCATTTCCTTTGATAAAATGACAGGGTAATCTTTGGCCGCACAAAAGCTGAAATGTGTCTTCGTCTTCTTTTTAATTCTCTATGTTTTAATTGGTTTAATGAAATAAGCGTAGTTTTCAAGACAAAATGTGTTGTGCAAATATTTCTAAAACTGACGCATGTAGATTTACAGACGCTTTGAGATTTGGACAAAAGGATGCGAACCAATGCTTTGATTTCAATTAAATGCTATTGAGAGCAAGCGTCTACATATTTGTTTGGGACAAAGTTGCTTTTAACTTTTTTAGGATTATTTAAAAGCTAACTTTAGAACGACTTTTTTTTAATTTGATTAGTTGCTAAGCGAGCAGACGGTTCGTTCCTGATGTTAAGTGAATACCGCCGCCCATGGACATCTGCTACACCCGAGGGTTGGAGATGCGTTGACAGTCTTTTGAAAATTGGGCTTAAAACTTTAAAGCGAGGTGCTGATGTGCCTAGGCTTTTGAATCTACAACATAGTACATAGGTTATCCTATATACTAGGCAAGCAGAATATATTTAGAATATATTTGATAGAATATATTGGTGATTTGTCAGTGTGCAGGAACCCTAAACTCGCGAGTAGCCACCGGTCTAGGCCGGACGGGGCTCCGTTAACTATTCCCAAGGCGACACACGCACTTGTTTAAAACACAGGCTGTTTATCACTCTATAAGCGCAGTTTTTGCAGCCGCCATTTTGTGGTACAACCAACGGCCGGTTTCAATATCCAATCTATAGATAGATTCGGTTACTGGAGAGAAAACTCTATGTTTTGACGTGAGTATTAAGGAGCTAATGTTAAATATCTGTCGCTAGTGTCCAAATCTATCTGTAGATAGAACATTGAAACCGGGCGTAACCGAGTCAATAGACGGTTAGGTATTGAGAGAGACACGTACGCCTAGTATGGTACTAACATCACCGCGTATGGGACAGTGAATAATAATAACAATATTTCAAAAATATTTCTCTCGCAATAAGGTCAGCAAATAACTGTATCGACGGGATAATTGTATCGATCGACCTCCACCCAACGACTCAGGTAAAACCCCAAGACATAACACTTGTGAAAATCATAAGTGGTTTGCGAACAAAAAGTAAATAATATAAACGAGTGGTACGGTAAGTATTTATGATTTTTGTACCGTTAACGCCATTCCACGTTTTATCGAAATAACCGTCAGTACGCGACAACTAACGGCGGGTTTCAATATTCAATCTATTGATAGATTTGGTCACTAGCGATAGGTACTCGAGATTAGCTCCGTAATACTTACGTCAAAATTCTATATCTAGTAACCAAATCTCCCGGTAGATCAGTGAACGGAAATAAACATTTAAGCATTAGTTGTTGTCGCTCCAAAATGGCATAACGAAAAACTATACCGTGACCGCGCGGGACTATAAATCGTACCGCGACGCTGTTTAAGGGATTTCGACTAAGTTTAAATTTGAACTAACAAATAAGTTCATTTTTGTTCGTCGGCGCCTGATATAATCAGTGAGAGTTGAGGCGCTATTCATTAACAACCACCTGTATGAACGTGCGTCCACTGCGGATAGAATATCGAAACCGGCCGTGAAATGCAACGTTCGATAGATTTCCGCCGTGTGCGTTTCCGACGAACTGAAATAGAGGTGCGCGCACACTAGTGCTGCGTGAATTAGCCTACGTGGGATTGCATCTCGTGTGACATAATAGGGCGCACGCACACCGGCGCAGCGGGGCGCGTACTACGCGGCGTGCGCGCCCCGCTCGGCGAAAACGGGGTCACGGTTCGCGCACACGCGGCCGACGCGTGACGCACGCCGCGCGCGGATTGCGGATGTAGCGTCGCGCGGATCGCGGATCGCGGATCTTGCGGATGGACTGAGCGGAACCGCAGCGCGGGCCGCGATCTTAGCTCGACGGCGAAATCCGCACGTCGGCAACAAGGGATCAAAATCAAAAAAAAAAAATCAAAATCATTTATTCATCGACATAAGAAACTTACATTTCATTTATCAAAAGTCATATTTTTTTTTAAATCTACCACCGTTTCGTAATGAGGTTCCTCTAGCGGAGAAGAAACAGGCGAAAGAAACTCCGTAGGTATCCTCTTTTTTGTAATTCATTTTTTTTTCCTTAACAAAAAATTCAAATATTATACAACAGATTTTTTTCCTTTTAGAAATAGCTTGGGAGCGATCAACTCATTCCCAGGGGTTATTGTCATTAATGTATTCATTTGTATTATAATAACGTTTTTCTTTAATACATTTCTTAAACCTGTTAATAGGCAGGTTTTGCGAATTTACTGGGATTTTGTTGTAAAAGCGTATACACCGCCTCATGAACGAGTTACTTACTCTATGGAGTCTAGTAACTGGCATTACAAGCTTGTGTTTGTTCCTAGTGTTCACATTATGTATATCAGTATTCTTATCAAAATTATTAATATTTCTACGCACATACATAACATTTTCATATATATATTGAGAGGCTAAGGTTAATATATTTATTTCTTTAAACTTTTCTCTCAAAGATGCATTCAAATCTAGATTATAAATAGTTCTTATGGCCCTTTTTTGCAAAATAAAAATTGTTTCTATATCGGCCGCGTGCCCCCATAGCAAAATACCATATGACATTATGCTATGGAAGTAACTAAAATACGCAATTCTAGCCGTTTTTACATCAGTTAGACATCTTATTTTCCTTATAGCATACGCTGCAGAACTTAGTCTATTCGCAAGTTTGGATATATGGGGACCCCATTGAAGCTTTGCATCGAGAGTTATTCCAAGAAAGACAGTCGTATCCACAAGGCCTAACTCCCCCCCCATTTATAAGTACATTGGTAGCACCCAAATGTTTAACATTAGGTGTTGAAAATTTGATACACTTAGTTTTATTACCATTTAATAGTAAATTGTTAATCGAAATCGATCGATTTAAAAAACAACTTTTTTTGAACGGAAAATATCGACTTCAAATATCTCGCTCTGTATTCACTATATTGATTTTCAGGAGTTCCCTGCGTATCTCCGGAGCCCATACCAATGAAATTAATATGCTACCACATGGGAAGCCCCAGCTTTCTTAAAACAAAAGAAACATCAAAAGCGGTTCACCCAATCGAAAGTTCTGAGGTTACAAATATAAAAAAATAAAATGAATACAATCGAAATGAGAACCTCCTTCTTTTTTGAAGTCGGCTTATAAAACCTTTCTAGAAATGCATTCGAATTTTGACGGAGGCATTTCTAGAAAGGATGACGCGGCGTGCGTCGCAATCGCCGCGTCATTAAACGGTTTTATTTAGCTCGACCCGTAAGGAATTTGTTTGTTTGGGTCAAAATTAGAAATTGAAATTTAAGCACCTTGCCGTTGTCAGATTGATCTGAAATTTGGTACACACATTTAATTTAGATGACAATACAATATTAACAAAAAAAAAAATTAACAAAAAAAAAAAAAAAAAAAAACAAAATAAAACCGTTTAACTTAAAAGTTTTTTAAAGTAATTATTTTTAGAATACTACAATTGAAACGTTGCCGCTTGTACACGCGCCGAGCTATAGGGCCGAGTTTCGAGGGCAGAAATGAAGAGAACGAAAGAAATCATCCCGCAAATGGGTCGCGATGCCGGGCATCGGAATTGCAGATGCAGCGACCGCAATCCATTGATATTGGCTGCGCAGCGCCGGCTGCGAAGACAGTTGGGGCAGGTCAGTTAATCCAGCGCCCGCCTCTCGCTGCCTACCAGCGCCATCTAGCGGAAGTCCGCTAATCCTCGAAATATCGCGTTTCAAAGTTACCTCGATTGGCTGTATCAGCGGCAGCGGCGTTGATTTATTTCAGCACGCAACTTAACTTTATCTCATTTAGTCTGGACAATATTGCGAGTCAGAAAGAAAGACAAGTCGGTCGGTAAATTGTCTAATGATAATCGCCTATATATATTTCACCTTCATTTCGCAGAACTTCGTTTGAAAATAGTTTGAAAAAAGTAATTACTACTACCGACATGCAATTTTTGAACGACGGTATTCTTAAACGCTACGGTATGGATAAATCCTAAATCCTTTTGAATGTCGACAGTTATATTATATTGGTGACAATAAAGTCGAAAATTCCTTACATTTTGGTATCAATATCTGAATACATGAAATCAATATATGAAATCTTTTTATAGGTTTTATTTAAACATCTCAAACTTCCTATTTGTTCATGATGATTACTAACATGGATGGATTGTTTTCAATCTTTTTTCAATTTTGATTGAAGACAATTTTCTAACGTTCCATATACTTACTACATTTTAAAATTAATTTGACGATGTTAATATAAAATATTACAATACTGGAAATGGAAGATGATAATTCAAATCAATTAAAGATTGTAAATTGAGGTTACATAAAAATGAATATATCTCATATATAGAAAAAAACATAAAAGATCAATAAAGACCTGAGAAGAAGGACATAAGCAAGTTAAGCACCAACGCTTGTAGATATTTCTGCAGTTTATGATCATATTTTATCCTTATAGCGATTACATTAGATTCTTTAAACCTCAAATACCCGCAGAAGAACATCGATTCCTCCTAGGATGATACGCGAACTTCATCACTTTGGGATCTGCTAAAATCTTATTATAAAAACAATTCAATCCAACCTCATAAACACCGCAAGATTTCAAGACACTACAAACTCTTATTGCGTAAACACTAAAATAATTTACGGTAGGCCGAAGTTACTGGTGGTCTGACATTAGGTTAAAGTAGTTTGATTCAATCATGTGTATTATTCGTGTATTGACAAGAAATCGTCGTAATAAAATAATATAGAAAATGAAGGGACGGATCCAACAAGATGGCGAATCGCGCGCCGCGTAAACAAAGGTAATATTCGCAAGCAACGGGGTCAATCATATCTATCCTACTCAGAATTCAGACAGTGCCAACACAGGAATACTCCAAGGCGAGCCACGCGAATCCGCCGCTATTTAACAAGGAAAATGGCAAATACTGGACGCGATGTGGCTTAAGGAATTCACAAATAACTGCTTGCGAAACGCCCATATACGCGACGGAGTGCTTTCCAGTGCATTTCTTTCAATACGAGTATATACAGTAGATACAAACTAGTTTTTAGTTTAAAGGACAATTCAGACTAAGTAACTGATATAGTCTGTGCCTATAGCCGTACTATAGCAGTGGTACAAGACGAGTATTTGCAAACTAGTCATTGAGTGCGATGAAAAGTTGAAAGGACAATTGAGACTGATAAATCTAAATATATTGTGTCGGGACGGCCTATGTTCATCAGTGGACTCTAACAGGTAGAAATGATGATGATGATGAATCTAATATTTATCTAATTAATCTGGAGCCAGCTTTGGTATGGTGGCTGCAACTATGACATTACTCTGACAGTTTCTCAAGTTCGAAAATAAACGTTGCGATATTTTGGGCTCAGTGTATCTTAGTTATCACTGTTGATATTAAATTAAAAAAAAATCTTTGAAATTGGGAACGAATTTAATAAGTTTTAAAATTGACAGTTTAACAAGACGTAACTAACGCCTCATTCTGTTTCTTAATAATGAATGTTGTCATCAAGGTAATCGAAGTAAAAAAAGGTAAACTAACAGCCTGTGAATGTCTCTGGGTCGGCTGGGCAAAAGCCTCCTCTGCACAGAGGGTATCAGGACATAGTCCACCACGCCACCCCACCGTAGATCGGTAGACTTCAAATATATTCGTAATACTTTTTTCGTTATCATTTCGAAAATATACCGTTTACCTCGCAATGTTTCCTTCACCGCACGTGATAAGTCAGCACTCGAAACTAACAATTTCATCGGTGCCAGCACCGCGATCCGAACTCGGGTCGCTAGAGTTTATTCACACGAAATTATGTACATAATAAGCTATTTCGACATGTACATACTTCATATGTTTTATATTATTTAGAGTTATGCTTGATTTATAGAAATAATGATTTCATCTTTAGAACAAGGCGCCGTTAACAAGCACAAATGTTGCTTATATTTACAGTTACTTAACATTAATGCAATGAACGCACAAATAATTAACCATACATGCATTTATAAGTATGCTTAAAAACCTTTACGGTGCTTTTGGTGATAAGCATTGCTCTCCCGCCTGCATCTGATCTTGTTCTATAACTATAACTATGTGACTCTATGGTCTTGTAAAGGTATAATCTATGACGCAAGCCGAATCGGCGTACGCGACTGCGATGCAACTGTTTTTGTGTGTAACTTGATGACGTCATTGTCCAATTGGGTCGCGCCGCCAACGCGACCCTGACACAGTGTACTATATAGATTCCCGTGTTATTCTAGCACCTACCGAGAACTCGGCTTTGAGGAAACCCGTACGTTTAACAGGCGCTTTCTGTTTTGATGCGTCTGTCCATACTGTTCAGAAGAGATATCTGTATCCGACATGTTGTATTTTGCCAAACAAACTGTCACAAAATCTCTAAATTTCTTTTTACTATTATCACGTATTTCGTTTATACCCCAATGTTTACAAAAATGATTCTGAATAGATTACATATTTTTCTAATGCAATCAATCCACGCGGCGGTGTCAAGTAGGCTAGCTAAATTTCCCCGCTGCATAATTACGCTTAAACTTTAAGCGAGAACAGAAAATCGTTAGAGAATTTTTTATTCAGTATTTGTATTCGCTTAATTTGTGTATACACGATTATTATACATAAGTAACAGGGCTTCAGAAATTTAATGCGGTAAAATCCGTAAAAAGTTAAAGTATCAGCCTATTCATGTCCCACAGCTGGGCAAAGGCCTCCCTCCTCTGTACAAAGGGTATCAGGGCATAGTACGCCACGCGGCCCCACTGCGGACTGGCGGCCTTCACATATCTTCGAAATCTTATGGATATTATAATATTTGTTATTATAATAACAAATATTATAATATTTGTTATTATTTCGAAAATATGCAGGTTTCCCACGGTGTTTTCCTTCACCGCTGAGCACATGATAATTCGGCACTTGAAATTAACAATTTCATTGGTGCCGGCACCGGGGATCGAACTCAGGTTGCTCGAGTATATTGAATTAAAGGCGAGCGCCCGGACACTGAGCTATCACGGCTCAATGCGGTAAAATCCGTAATAAATAGTTATTTAAATGTTAAAATGTTTACATTTTCAAATTGATTCGCCAGCTTTGCAGTGTACAGGCACTTAGGCCCAGTGATCGAGTTCATTCAGTTTTTTCCCAGTTTTTGTAAAACACTTTACGCATCTTTTCGAAAACCCGGCAGCGGAGTGGCAAAAACCGTCAACCTAAGTAATCAGGTAACAGAAACCCACCGAAATCTGTACAATCGTGGAAGCAATTTTTAGGGTTCGTACCTAAAGTGTAAAACGGGAAGTCTCCGCTCTCTGTCTGTCTGTCTGACGGTCCGTCATCAGGCTGTATCGCCAAGAACCGTGATAGTTAGACAGTTGTAATTTTCACCAATGATGTATTTCTGTTGCCGCTATAACAACAAATATTAAAAAACAGAATAAAATTAAAAAATATGTAAACGGAACTCTTCAAGCGCGAGTCCGACTCGCACTTAGCCGTTTTTTCTTAAACTCGAGAGGAGGATTTTTTAGAGTCGCGTCCCAAAGGTGGTGCCAAGGTGGACAAGTGGCTGCGGCGAGATGAAGGCGCTGGCTTCTCTAGACTATTTCCGTACCACTTCAAAATAAGTGGCGAAGATTATTGCGTCCAATACACTATAGCTTTTTTTTAATAACTTTTTCTCAACGTTAACTTGCGGCAAGTGTATATAATAAATAGTATTTGTAACATAATCATATTTTAGCTACTTCATCATCGTGCGATTATTTTCCTTTCGTATTAGCTAATTTCAAGGGTTTAAAGTACAGTGCTTATTAAGTATCATGGTAATCGCGATTAAGATGCACCTTACCAAATTTCATAGAAATTTTCATAATATAAATAAAGTAATTACGGAATACAAGGGATTATTTCGCGTAATCTTGTCAATTACTCGTTATAGATCCTGATTACAAATACGTGTGCCTGCGCCGACGATTTGGATTGTAGTTTAATATTGACAAGTGTCAAATCAAACAATATGATGGTCTATTATTCTCGTCAGGAACTAATGCCTTTCTTAATTTAAGTGATTATGGGGCAAACTCAATAGGTAATTGCTGCGAAAAGCTAAACATTAATACCACACGCGACGCTGAAGGAAATATTGTGAGGAAACCTACGTATATAACAAACTAGCGACCCGCCCCGGCTTCGCGCGGGTGTAATGTATTATAGATAAAACCTTCCTCTTGAATCACTCTATCTAGAAAAAAAAAAACACATCAAGATCTGTTGCGTAGTTTTAAAGATCTAAGCATACATAGGGACAGACAGACAGCGGGACGACTTTGTTCTATATTATGTAGTGATGTTGAAACAAGAAATATTATAATAGTAGAGAGTATAATCCTCGAAACAGGCCTCCTAACATAGTACAGATCAATGATGTTTAATAATATATGACGTTTGTCCATACCGCGTGACGTTTAAAAAATGTTCCGCTTTACATTATATGACATATGAATGTGACAGGTGATATACAACGTATGAAACGGAAAGAGATGACAGTCTATCCAATCGCAATCTAATAACACCAATTGACGTAATTTGAGTGCCTCAGTTTCGATGCCCTAGTGCCATATCTACCTCTTACATGTCTATTTATTTATTTATTTAACAAGGCTTACCAACGAAATACATATAGAAACAATTATTATGAGGTGCCCTTAAACATTGTATATATGCATTTAAATTAAAGGTAAACACAACATATAAGAAAAGACTTCCTTTAAGGAGAACAGGAACCTATAAAACTATCACTACAATAAAATAATAAAATTAGAACAAACAAAAAAAAACCTAACTTATATAATGTATAAATATAAAAAAGAGAGGAAGAAAAAAAAACTTTTGAAATGAAAAAATTATTGGGCTATATAATATCATTGGTACAGATGGCCTATTAAGCGATTGTCAAAGGTTTGGACAATTTTTCTGCCCCTTTCACTCACATTTGCCGGATTTATTCAACGGCACGCGAGCGGAGCGTTACGTCACCTTCCGCAAATTAGCGACCCCGGGCGGCGGTTATCGGGGAAAAATGGAAACGATTACATGCGACGTTACTCAGCGTGGCCCACATCGGCTTCACGGAACGGAATGGGGCATTTTCCCTCTATCCGTTTCCGTTTAATTCGCGCGACAGCTTAAATAGATCAGGGTCAATTAGCATTGTTTACGGGAAAATAGTGAGCGGTTTCAACTCTAGCCAAAACGAAATAGCTTTCATAATCGTTTCTATGTAATACTAACAGATGATGAAACAAATGTCAATTCGTTAAAGTGTTATTGGACAAAAACTACAACATGTAGAAAAAGTGCGAAAAGATTGTCGCCGCTGTGGGAATCGAACCCACGTCTTCGGCATTCGCGGCCCGGCGCTCTAGCCACTGAGCTAAACGGCGGATAGCCACAGCGAAAATCTTAACGTCTTCTTTCTACATTGTTATTTAGCATTTGAAGCAATGCCGCGAATGCCGAAGATGTGGGTTCGATTCCTACAGCGGCGGCAATCTTTTCGCACTTTTTCTACATGTTTTAATGTTCAATCTTAAGTGCAGAGATTAGCACTTTAAAAAACTTTAAAATTTATGGACAAAAACTACTTTATGGATTTTCCTGCGGTTTATTTTTTTTGTTTTAAATCCATCCCAATTCATCAAATTAGTAAACGAAGAACTGTTACATTAACTATGAAGTTCAGTATCATCCTTTTGAATTTTTATTCGGTAAATTACGTTTATAGATTTTATTACTTATGTTTAATGATTGTTTGGGAGCTAGGTGTAAAAGAAAACGTTATCGAGGGCTCATTGATAGACTTTTATTTATAAAGTGATAAAAATTTTGTAAAATTTTAACAGGTAGTCACATCAATAACATAATAAACACCAGCCAAGTGAAAGTCGGTTTTTTAGTATATGTTGTTATAGCGGCATCAAAAATAAATAATCTGTGAAAATTTCAACTGTCTAAATAACTATCACAGTTCATGAGATACAGCCTGTTGACAGACGGACAGACAGACATACAGACAGAAAGACAGACAGCGGAGCCTTAGTAATAGGGTCCCGTTTTACCGTTTGGATACGGAACCCTAAAAACCTACTTACAAGACATTTGATATTTATCTACATGTTGAGGGCTAATTCTTCGCATGTATTCGGCCGAGAATCTAGTAAATAGGAAAACAATCTACGGGTATTTTAATATCCCGATAGAAACTTCTCGTAATTCTAGCGGCGTCGGAGGAAAGTGGATAAGCTATAACGGCGCGCGTCTGTGGGCTTTCTCTTCCGGTCTCTGCCTCGGCCATACAGTATTACTGCGGAGTACGGACCACAGCGACAACACCAAGATTGCCGCCACGAGGGGGAATTACGACCACATAAGTACAATATAAAAGTAAAGTAAAGTAACAGCCTATACATGTCCCACTGCTGGGTAAAGGCCTCCTCTATACAGAGGGTATCAGGGCATAGTCCACCACACGGCCCCACTGCGGATTGGCGGACTTCACATATGTATATATCTTCTAAAAATTTTTTTTGTTATTATTTCGAAAATATGCAGGTTTCCTCACGATGTTTTCCTTCGCCGCGGAGCACGTGATAAGCCAGCACTTAAAGTTAAAAACTTCATTGGTTCCGGCACCGGGGATCGAACTCAGGTTGCGCAAGTATATTGAAGTAAAGGCGAGCGCCCGGACACTGAGCTATCACGGCTAAGTACAATATACTAAATTGAAATGGAAGCAGAATTCTGCACCTCCGGGGTAAACGGAGTTATGTGACAAAACACAAATTTTACAGGCTGCATCGCCACTTACCGTCAGGTGGGATGGCAGTCAAGTGCTGGCCAGTTCAAAATAATATAAAAAAGAGGCAAAAATGCGCGAGTCTTTGTATGTATTATTGATTATGATGTCATATTATACGATTGGATATTTTATTAATTAGGCATGGTAGGACTTAAATGCTTTATACTATTTTTTAGAGTTTGTTCTTGCATTAAAATCTAATGGCGTAAGAAAAATAATTTTGAAAAATGTGCTACTGCTGTATGCCTCTGAGATGCAGAATTGTTTAATCCATTTGGACCCGTTTGAATAATTTGGAAAGGTCACAAGTACATTTTTATTGGCCAAAATCAAAACCTACTTCACTCAATCTCTTTACTGTGGTGGGGCCACGCAACAGTCTCCTCTGTTGCACGGATCGGCAGGTCCGTCGGGATTACCATGACCCGGTGAGTGACCTAGCCGGAGTCCACTTTATTAGAAGGTGTCAACGCATCTGCAACCCCATGGTTGTGGCAAATTTGCGGCGGTTATCACTTAACATCGGGTGAACCACCAACTCGTTTTTTTTTTTCAATTTTGTATTTGATTTTAAGAAGCTCCCTGAGATATCTCCGGAGACCAAGGTCTTATACCAATGTAATTAATATGGGACCATGTGGGGGTGAAACAGAACTCAGTAGAAAAGGAATTTTTAAAATCGATTCATAAATGACGCACTAATGAGGTAACAAACCGAAAGAATACAACCGAATCGAGTTCGAAAACCTCCTTCTTTGGAGTCGGTTGAAAATGTGCCGACGGCCCTCAATAGCTGCCAGATCAAATACGATCAATCATTCATTTATTGTCACAACATAAGTTAAATGTAGACAAAATAATAACATGAAATTGGTAGTTGCAGGGGCACTTGAGTTATTTCCTGTATGCATTCTTTGACAATATTACCGATATTTTATTCGAAATAGCGTGTAGGAAAAACATATAATACAGTAAGTCATGTGAAATAACAAAAAGTACCTGCTTGACAAACTGTGTACAATAAATTGGATTTTACTTATCTTGGAAGCTATGTTTTTACCAGTGCCAGATAGACAGTGAAAGCTAGCTATCCACAAAGTTAATTTTGACCTTAGACCGACAGGCAACCTATTAACTTAGGCCCTAAGAACAAATAGCTAATACCGATATTTGCAAGAGATTATTACGAACCTAAGTGCTTGTAGTAAACTTGTCGCCGTTCTCCAGATATTAATGTGAGACCGTGATTTTAATGGTACGGAACCCAAGAACATAACTAACGCTACTATCTTCGAAGAATTAAGTTTTTTAATAAAAAATACGCTTACTTAGTGAAGGTGGCGCAGCCAGTGGATTAGTTGTCTGCAATAATAAAAACCACCTGGGTTTCCAAAAGCGTACTGGTTATGCTCGTATATAAAGTAACTTTTATATAAAGTAACTCGTATATAAAGTAACTTTCCAAAAGGCTATGCTCGTATATAAAGTAACTTTTATATGTAAAGTTTTACGCCCTGTATTTTTCACGATTTGTGGGAAGGTCTAAATTATAACAAGATTAAGACAAGTAGAAAAACGGATAAACCAATAAAGCCTGCATCGAATTTTCCACTAGTCCTAATTGTTTACTCGGGCAGTCGTTCAGCTCTTAGCGCCGAGTTGGAGCGATAAACAATCGTTTCGACTAAACAGATGTATTGTGCGAACATGAGCTCAATTGGTCGAATCCTTCAGAACTTGCGCGGTTACTAGCAGTCATATATATCGGCTAACTAAAAAATCAGTTACCATTAATATTTCTAGATTTCAAATTTACTCAACTCTAAAAGTACTATTCAAATGGCAATAAATAGCGATAGTTGCTATGACGCCATCATCTCGGAACATTCTCAACGGGCGTTCAATTAAAACCGATCAAATCTCCGCGCGAGATTGTGATCGCGCATTTCGCCGGACTTTCGCCTGGTAAAAGCGGCGGTTCGCGAAAGGAAAATCGCCGCCACTTCCTCGAGCGGAAACTAAAAGTGGATTGTTGGCGCGGGTGAAAACTGCATCGGCGCGCCCCGTCTTGTTGCACTTTGCAACGAGAGTCTGATACAGTTGTTTCGGGATAAACCGAGTGGCGACATCTATTATTGAGATACTATTCTTAATGTAGTTTACGACAGCGACATCTAGTATTTAATCTTTACACTAGTTAAATATTTCAGTGGCGTAATGTCATTGTTGTTTCTTCCTTTCGCCAATAGATGGCACTATTCTAGACATGCACTATCGAAATGTACGGAAAGCGGAAGCACAGACATTAACAAAACTTACCTTTACCTCCACCGGCGTCGTGCACCTGCGGCTTCCCGCTCGGCACCCGCTGCATCGGCGACGCGTTACCGTAGTTCATTCCCGTACCGTTATAGTCCGTGCTCATGGGCTCCTGCTTTATGCCGCTAGATGTCGCCGCCAGCTTCTCCGCCAGGAGGGGGTTGGCGGACGCTATGTTGTAGCGGCCGTTGTTGATGTTGTTGGCCACGGCGTTGTTGATGGCGCTGGTGCCAGAGCGTAGCAGCTGCTGCAGCCGCTGTTGGCCATTGTTGGGCAGCGAGAGCTGGTTCTGTTGGTAGTAGGGACCCTGTATTTGGCTTCCGGACGCCGGCGATACGTTGTTGTTCTCCTCTTGCTGAAACGTGATTTGAACAGTTATATTTCATAATCAAATAAAAAGATTCCTAAGAAATTTTGTGATATTTTTGTAGTTTTATCTGACCGACTGTACGGACGCAAATGTTAAAATTATGTCATCATTAGGCGCGGGCGGTGTTAGTATATACAATCTCCGCTTCAAACAAAGTGGTATAGTCGAATTGATTATGGACAGAGAAACGTAATTCTTTTCTTCATAAACGTATTTTTAGTTAGGAAAAAAGTAACCTCTATTGTTAAATTAAAATCGTCGGAACCTACCTACTATCACTATGTTATAGTGATAACACAATGGCGAATATAAAAAAAGTTCTTGGATAAAATTCTAAGATAAAGTTCTTCTTGTAAATAAAGTTCTTGGATCATAAAGCACTTACGATGCGACATAAGAAAAGAAAAGTAACAGCCTATATATGTACAGAGGGTATTAGGGCATAGTCCACCACGAGACCCCAATGCGGATTGGCGGACATCACATATCTTCGGAATATCTTTGTTTGCGACACAATACTAACTACGCACTATGACTCGGGTTGGCTCCGTTGCTAAACTATTGGCTTCGGCGTCGGGGTCGTGGGTACGATGCCCATACGGGACAAGTGGACGAGAGGACTTTGTGACTCACAGATAATTCTCCGGATCTGGGTATTTGTTTTCCAAGAAAGGTTGACGTCAGGAAGCGGGCGATCGCAAAAAATATAGCTAAAACCGTGATTCACATGTTGCGCCGGCGGGCGGTCGTATATAATATAGCCAAAACCATTTACATGATGATTCATATATCATTGTGCCGAACCCACCTAGATGGGATAAGGTCAGGTGGGTGATGATGACTTTACCTTTATCTCGATGGGCGGCACGGCGGTCGCCGTGGAGTTGGTGAGGTCGGTGAAGAACGTGTCGAAGTTGTCGAAGGCGGTCTCGCCGAGCTGCTTGAGTATGTCGTCGGGGTCGTCGGCTTCCGCCTCCGCCAGGCCCACGATGTTGCTGATCTCCGCCTGCGAGAGCTCACCCAGCGACGACGCCATCTGCTGCAGCGCCGCCGCCTGCCCGCCGCCGGTCACCGCGTCCTGTAACGCCGAGCGCTCGCACTGTACGTACCAGTATCGGAAGCTAGGAGGGGAGACATGCCATGTTCGTTTCGCTCTCCTTTATGGGCATTAACAGCAGTAGTGGAGATAGGGGCGTTACTTACGATAATAGGTGAGACCACGGTTACCTCTTTCGCCACACTACAGTCAAAAACATGAACATTTCTGTGTGGTGCCGGTCACAGTTGATGCAGATTACCTACTGTATGAATTAAATACCACTATTAATGCAAAATTCCAACTGGCCACTTGTCTAAAATTGAAATAACACCGTTTTACTACCCAGGTTGAGCCGGCACATTCATAAAAAGGTAGAAACCACTAAAGCAGTCGGCATTAAAACAATCCTTATGCGTGCCGATGTTAAATTAATTAGTTAAATATATAGCATAAGATAGAATTTCTTGCCTTAGACGTATATTCATAACACCTATTAAAATCTAGAATACACAAAACCGAATATCACAACTAGTGGCGTGCATTATAAGAGGCTTTGCTCAACAGTGATATGATTCGTGAAAACAGTACAACAAATGTCATACGGTGGGCGAGACACAAACCTGCAGGCAATTGGAGAGGTCGACCATCCTTCCCTCATTCTCGGCTGTCCACCACTCGTCCTCAATAAATGGCATCGCCAGCGCCGGCCCCGACGGCGCATGCGTCCCCGCCACGTTGCCGCGCCTAGGTAACGCCAGGTGGCGCTGTCGCAAATCGCACTAACACTAGCACACGCGATCCCCGCACTTAACAATAATAGCACTAAATGTAAATTCGTTTAAAACGTTTGGCAGCGTTTCGGACGGATCGTTCATTATTCGATGTGAACAATGTTGACGGTCGCTTAGATACTAATTCGATTGGAACACATGACGGTTGGCGTTATAACGTCACGGCGTGAGATCGAACGCTGGCTTCGTTTGGTGATCAGCTGGACTAACGCCTGCTTCTAGCCAGGCTACCTCACGCCCCCCGTTCCGCTCCTCTTCAACAGCGACCTGCGAATAGACAATGCGTAGGCTTTCACGTCTTTAAACATTGAACCTTATTATTAGATGTGGTTTCGGGATCGTATTTTCTCATGTATGATGTTGGCAAGTTGAACAATATTCGAGCCTAATTTTAACAAGATTTTTTTTTCTGCCGGTAGATTTAAACTTCAACTTTGTATCACAATGAAATAAGATTGTACTATAATATAAATTACCGTGCCGAAAGCAGGTACGAACAGCCCATATTTATATGACAGCATGGAATAATTAACGGAATTCTTAACGGAATGGTTTATACTTTGTTATGACAAGTATTGCGGGGGCGGCAGTGCCCCGAGGTCACCTGGCGATGTCCCTGTGTACGTCGAGCCTGCGCCGATTCTGCATAGGTGCTGCCATCCAACGCGGTGCAGCCGCCTCATACGTCGCTCTGCAGACAAAACAATATGAATATGTTATAAAAATCTAAATAAAATATGTTCACACATATGTATAAATTCATAACACGTCAACCATGAATATCATTCAAATGTCTGTTCCGTTATGTAACGGTTGTCAGTTTTAAAAACAATTTGTCTTTAAGTCTATCGTTTAATGTTATTGCTTTCATATAACTTTATAAGGCAGCAAGTTATTTACTTTTGTCTTAAACTCGGTATACGATCACCTGATTAGTTAACTTCTACGATGACCAGTATTACAGAAACTGGGCGTTATAAATATAAAATGAATTTTAAGGTATTATTCAAAATAAAATTACGGTTCATAAGTACGTCAGCCTACTTGTGTACATTCGATATATGTGCATATACTTTAGATGTGTGCTACTCGGCGTTAGATGGCAGTGTCAAATAGAATTAGTTGCTCTACATTTTCGTTCTTTACCTAAACGATATAAATTTAAAGTTATTAGCACCTAACCTAACCGAATTGTCTTTTTTATGGAGTTGCAGGAAAATTACCACGTGAAATATAACTAATAGCAAGTGAAAAGAAAATATACACAGGTAAAGTGTGTATTTCTTGCTCCACTTGTACCTTATTGTGTGGTTGAATAACAAAAACTCGGGGATGGAAAACATACCTCGAGTTTCTCTTTATACCTAAAATATCCGATTCGGCTATAGCATTTTAGGCCATTGTAGGGCCACGCAACAGTCTTCGCTATTGCACGATTGGGCAGTTAATTCAGTCCGGGTAAGTACCACGACCTCACAGAAGAGTGGAAGAGTTATGCTTCTACGTTTCGTCTCCTGAGTGAGGTAGCCGAGGCCCACTTAATTAAAAGGTGGCAAAGCATTTACAAGGGTGTTGCAAATGTTATTGGGCAGCGGTTATCAGCGTCAGACGAATCGTCTGCTCGTTTGCCACCTTCTCACATAAAAAACCCTCCACAAGAAATCAAGGGAACATACATGAATTATTAAAATCGACTGCTCTTTATAACAGATATCTTCGACGTCGCACACAGTTTCGATCATAAGTGGTAAAAATGCAACAATTGTTTTTGTTTTTCGTAACGGATTGATGTAAATTGACGGTCTTAAAGAAATTCAAACGCTATGTCGTTTACAATGCGCGGAAGAGTGTAGAGAACGAATGAATTTCTCGGCTCCGGTAAAAAACACGACAATGCACCTCCCGCGCTAGGCGATTGTCGGACATAGATAAGAAGGGATTAAAAAAATACTTTTGTTTTCGAACACTTCCTACGTCGCTTTCTTTGGACACTTGTTTTCTGCGAATACGATGTTTTTTACGTAACTGTGCCACTTCCATGCACCTAGACATGTAAATATTATTTGCATCACGGACTAGAAAAATTAAATAAGTTACTCTTCCAATCCGTGTTGATCATAAAATGCAATGATTAACACGAATTACAGCGCGTGCATTATGATTTTGTTGATCACGCCATTAAATTAATGTAACGCTGTCTCACTTGACCTTCTAAATTTTAGATGATTGATATTTTAATGATTTGCAAGTGCATATTACATAAACAGTTGGATTTTAATTCGATGACTTGCTCTCGTATTAACAGATCAAGAAACTTTGCTTAAAATATTATGCCTAAGCGTGTAATTTATAAAGAAACCGAACTAAAAACAATCAGTTAACATTAACGAAAACAATTATAAAAGTTCAAGGGTAAATATAATAGCAACAGACACAACAACGATATTTACATATAATTCCAAAAACAATCTTTAATTAAATTAAATGACAGTCTAATTTTAAAACATTCAAAACTAGTTCTTGTTTTTTCTTTATTTGATATTGTAAGCAAAGTTTTCCCTGGTATAAAGTTTACAAGATTTATTCGCTTAGCCTGACCTTGGTTGGGTTACTTCCTGCTGCATATTACTTTGAGGACCTTGTAAGTCGGCATTGCCAATGATCAACATCTCGCTAATGACTTGTTTATACAAAATAAATTACTCATATAAGCAAGCGTAACATAAACAAAACAAAACATGAGATCGTGGCAGCGGTTTTAGTTTCTGTTTTTATGCCCTATGACCTATGAAAGGACAACATTGATATTTTTATCTTTTTAATACATCTCAAGAAATACAAAAACTAAACCAAAAGATTAATATAACTAACTTAAACTTAACTAGTAATATATTGCTGACTTTACGAATACATTATAAATGGGACCCAGTTATAATCTGTACATTACCCGTCTTACTCCCCAAATTCGAATCGAATTAGTTTTGGTTTTCGATTCGAACTCGCTCTTGATTCGAACACGAATCTTTTGGGAGTAGGCCTGTAGCAGATAAATCTCTATCTTTCTTTTTTTTTAAATTCTATCTTTTCTACATATTTTAATGTTCAAATCTCTATCAATCAATTATGTGTATGCATGCAGTAAAGCTGAAAATCGAATATTATTATTTATTTTTTTCTAAAATAAGTTACTTGTCAATTTTATATATAATTATAAATGTTGATCTTTATGGTTTAAGATAGCGGTTTTTTCAACAAATATATTTCATATGTTAAACTATACTTTTATTTTATTTTTTTTACTTGTATATACAAAAGATAACACAACGCCATCTATGAAAAACCTTAGGTACTAACACAACTACACATTTTTATTCGTTTTAAAATAGTAAATACTACCAACTAGACTAGTAACATTGAATTCTATTGTTTTTTTTCTATTATTGTTAATTCTATAATATCACGAGGAACATTCGACATTTTATTATGAATTCTATATTAATTTCAATTTAAAATTTCTTTTTAAGAAATCTTACTTGTAACGGGTAATCAAATTGGCTTCCATAAATAAGAACAACGCATAATTTTGCATTGTTCAAAGATTTATCTAAATAACACATACTTTCCACAACATAAATAAACATTACAAAACTAAATCGCGTATCTATAGCAATAACGAAACGCAACAATGTTATGACAGCAAATGTCATACCAAAAGTCAAGTAGTTTTAATAATTTTACGAATGAATACAAGTTTTCCAAAACATGTCTGAAAGTTCATCCACATCAGAATCAGAAGTGGGTGCTTGTAGCTCTAACTTCGATCCGATTAAAGCACTTTATTCTAGAAAGACAAAAGTACCGGTTGAAAATGCTCCAATGTATAACACTGTCGAGCAATACGAGGCTTCTCTCGAAAATAAAAATATTGTACCGGTTGGGTGCAAGGAAATGGTTCGCAAAATGAATGAAGAGAAAGAAGAAAAGAAGCAGGCAGAGACTAAACTGTTAGAAGAAAAGAATAGGATGCGTTTTGCTCAATATGAAGGTTAGGATATTTTGTATAACATTCTATTTGTTTATAAAATTGTTTAGACTAATTCTTGTTCCTAATAGTAAAGACTTATCAGTAAAGCCTTGTCCTACAGTAAAGCTTTAATGAAGCATATGTAATAATTTATTCAGATTATTTTATAGCGCACTACAATATAAAAGGTATTTTTATTGAAGTGAAGGCATGTTGGGCTCTTTTGGTATGGGAAAAAATACACTGAACTTGTGTGACCGTCAAGCCTGTAGAACAGTGCAATAAATAAAAATTTTATTACTATTTTTTAAATTAATTTCTAAGCAAAAAGAGTTCCTTAATGTATCCTAACCCAAAAATAATGTTTTAGAAGTTTTTCACGAAGTTGTTCACCTGAATGAATGAATGAATGAAATATACTTTATTGTACACGAACACTAGACATTGAATAATCAACCAAAAATAATACAAAACTATACAATAGGCAGCCTTATTGCTAAAAAGCGTGGTATATTATATCAAAGCACAAGTCGAGAAAGGTACTTTAAATTTATAAAGCTGGCGCAATGCTGAGCTATGAATATTATATATTTTTTTTTGTCAATAACTGAACTGCATATTACAAAAGTAAACACTACAGTAAAACCAGTTGAATTATATGACCAGCAATATGTACAAGCAGTTATGAGGGGCAAAACTCTGTGATCGAATTTCTAATATAATTGAAGATGGTGTTAAAGTTTTTACTATATTAATGACCATATTGTATTGAGTTATATAATTTTGTCATTAACGGAGAAGTATTTTTAGGAAGTCTATTGATATCTATAATGATACAAACATTTTGTTTGTTTAATTTTTTATCTGTTTCCTTGAAATTGGACCTTGACTTGCAGCCAAACATAACAGTTACTTTATTGATATCATTGATCTGATATAAACATTTGATATTGTCTGAGGCCAACCTTCAAGTGATGAGATTGTAGTGAAATATGATCCATAAATTACTTCTGTTCATGATCTAATGTTGTCAAAGTTATTTTTGGAAGTATTATATATTCATGTATTTATATATATATCATCTTCTAATATATAAATATTAAGCACTTAAGGTTAAAAACTTCATTGGTGCTGGCACCGGGGATCGAACTCAGGTTGCTCGAGTATATTGAATTAAAGGCGAGCGCCCGGACACTGAGCTATTTGCAGAACAAGTCATAAAATACAAAATGCATATTTCACTTTCTCTGTCGCCTTGTACTACAATAATTTCAATGAAAATTAACCACGGTCGAACATTTTACTATTACGTGATTCTTTTTCATCCGAATGCGGCTAAGCCAAAAAAAGGCTTATGTGTTTGACCTGTATGTACAACTAGCTGCTGCCCGCGACTACGTCTGCGTAGAATAGGCTGAAGGCGTAACATTCAGACAGAAAGACAGATATACATTTAATATGTATATAAATTATAGCCTATGTCTTATTCTGATGCATAAGCTGCATTATTGTAAAGTTTCATTAAAATCCATTCAGTAGTATTTGCGTGAAAGGGTAACAAACATTCATCCATACATACAAACTTTGGCCTTTATAATATTAGTAAGATTATAAATATGAAGTTCCATCGGTATGTTTCCGTGACTACTAAGGGGCTGAACCGATTTTGATGACTAATTTGATGAATAAAGTCGTTAGAATCTTCTTCATTCCGCGAGTGTCCCTGCGTAAAAATAAAAAAAAAATAAAGTTAATAAAATGGCCCCAAAATGCGTTAATTTTTTTTATATGTAGTAATACATTTTATGACTAATTAGTAAACAAGTAAAAAAATAACTAATTGAGAACCTCCTCCTTTTTTGGAGTCGGTGTAACGCTTCGAGCACAATTAACTTCGATATTCCAAACACCCGAAAGTGTTCCGTACGTAACCGGATAAAAGCTAAGCCACTCTGAAGTAAACGATGTCATTACGAGTAGTATAAAACAAAGACGTCCCGCTGTTTGTCTGTCCCTATATTTGCTTAGATCTTTTTATACCTACGCAACGGATCTTGATGCGTTTTTTTTTTACTAGATAGTGATTCAAGGGGAAGGTTTATGTGTATAATACATTGCAACCGTGCGAAGCAGGGGCGGGTCGCTAGTACTATACACACTTAAATAACACGCTTTATCTTCCGATAAGGCTGCGCGCATCACGCCAGGAGTCTACGTGTGTAGATTCAGAGCACCATTAAAAACACTGCCATCTATGTCACACGGTCAATTTCACACGAACATAAGGTGCCGTTTGTTCTTTTTTGTGTGAGAAGGTGGCAAACGAGATGGCGGTTCACCTGATGTTAAGTGATGACCGCCGCCCATTGACATTTGCAACACTTGTAGGGTTGCATGTGTTACCTTAGTATAAAGTGGGCTCCTCATAAGTATAACACTTCCATTTCACGCCGGTCTTCTGTGAGGTCGTGGTACCTACCCGGACGGACCTGCACATTCGTGCAACAGCGAAGACTGTTGCTTCGCCCTACCACAGTTAACCACCACAACAAACTTTGTTCTTTCGCCACAGAGTCCTCGATGAAATAGCGTTCCGCAATTGACAACTTGATCGTCGGAATTAGGTATTAGGAAGTAAACTGCTGAGTGTCAGACTATTGGTAAAGACAACGAGAAAACTGTTCACTAACGGCCGGTTCCAATATTCAATCTACAGATAGACTTGGATACTAGCGATATGTATTTCAACATTAGCTCCATAATACTTAAATTAATTGTAGACAGAATATTGAAACCGGCCATAACAGTGTCAGACTTTTAGTGGAGGCAACGAGCAAACAGCACATGGTCAGTGATCTGCGTTGGCCGTCAAGGAAGCAATAGATTCTAATACCCTCACTAAGTGTCGTATCACCCCTGGGGGTGGGTCGGGTCGCGTACTTTGATTCGCGTTCAACGCACGCGGCTGTGTGTCACCGCGGGGCGACGACCCCTCACACCGGGGCTGCCAGGTTGTGGATTTTTGCCCTCGCTCGGGTAGTTTGTAGGATAGGGTTCCCGAAAGGTATTGCCCCCTTAAACGGTTGTTGTTAAGACATGGACGTTGCGAATTTAGATGTCCATCAGTCATCTACTGATGCTTACAAAGAGTTTATTTAACTCTCAATAATAAAGGCAAAATGTCCGATGCAGGGTTTTTTGCTAGCTAGAGAAATAAAAACTGTACTATCACAACAGAATATATGCCTTTTCTCTGAATTTAGAAGCTGTTTTGTCGATATAGAGAAATAAAGTACGTTTTAAGTTTTAAGAATTAGAACATTAATCAAATTCAAAGTACGTACAAACTAAATCGAAAGCATTATTGCCCACTTTTCACTTCTCTTTTTCAGTAATACCGAATGGAAGTATCAGTAAAAGTAACAATTTTATTCTTGCCAAGGGTTGACCGATTTCCAAAGTAAGTGAAATTTTGAAAGTAACCAACCATGCACCAATGGATGGCTCAATAAAATACTACTTTCATATAGCTGTCATATTTTGATAATTCAGACTGTATTTGGCGATGCATTTCGAGGCAAATTATATATTTTCGATGATATTTGATGTAGTTTATAATTAAAAATTACGATTCCCTGTTTTCAAAATTAAAAAAATAATATCTCAAATATTCATCGAATAAATGCATTGTATTATTGTTTTAGGGTTTCTAGTCGTGCAATGGCGCCAAACATCATTAAATCATCTTGTCATTTCTCTTACGAACGAGTCGGGGGAACGGCTCTCGTGTTTTCGCGCCTTTTTGCATTTCGATGCTATCTGACGATTACGAAATCGTTCAAAGTACTTCAACATGTGAAGACTCCACAGATTAAAATTACAGAATGCAGAGTTTAAAATTAGCAGACTTTCGTATTGTTTCCTTGTAAGTTTTTATCCTATATAATTGCCAGCATATCCTGTCTGAAATACTTTATTCGAAAATTATGTGTTCAGGTTGTAAGTCAAGTTTTTTTTAATTATTATTAAAATTATTATTATTTAGAAATACAAAAAATAAACGTAAAAAGATCCATTCGCATTTTTTAACATTAGCACATTGTGATTTTCTATTACTGTCGGATCCAAAGACAAAATAACTCAATAAAAACCTGTTTACTTGCCTCGAAGACAATCCTATAGTCAAAATTATGTTTTTAATATTCTAACGGCCGGTTTCCGAAACACTGTATCTGCCTACAAGTCAACTAATTAGCTGTCAAATGGCTTTTCAAATGTTATTTGAGTTGCCAAAAGGATTGTTAAAGTCTTTGAATTGGTCATTCTGATCATTCTACATTTGAAAAGATATTTGACAGCTGATTAGTTGACATTTACGAAGATCAGAGTTTTAGAAATCGGGCGTAAGTCTCTACGATTGTATAAATGCAGGGAGGTTTGCATTAACTTCACCGATCTTAGCCACGTGTTAGCGGCTCCAAGGCAGCTGCGTGGTCGCGAACTCCTATATTCTCACTGCGACCATACTCGTAGGTTACAATGACCACTTTTGTATATTACTGGTTCAATTAGAGAAATCGCGCTGCTTTCGATTCTGGAAATATGGCATCGTTCCTTTGTTGAGCGCGTTTTCATAATGAATGTTCGGTCAGAGCGATTATTAAGGCCAGCCAAAGATTAGTGCGATACGTTTTATGTATATCCTGGAGTCGTATTGAGTCCTTGTGTTGGATCTCTGTCGCATTACCGGAGTTTTCCGTTTTATTGCCTGCTAAGTTATTGTATTTCGTAACGCCCGGTAGGTTTGTTGGCCACCTGTAGCGTTAATAAGCTCGGTTAAAAGAGTTGAGCTCTGACCCTCTCCATGTTACCACCCGTCAGAAATTAAAGATAATGCATAAAACATCGTTACGTGTTTATCAACCATAACAAACTACGTATAACAGTAACTCAATTTTCTTCACAATTATGGTTCGAAATGTGCAGATAAATCTTTCGCAAAATTTTCCTAGATTTATTTTTAATTAATTATTATATTAGCCAGTTGGAACTTGCACTAACTGCCCGGTATCTGTTGCATGTCGTTTTTAAAATTTTTCCGGTTAAATATTTTTCAACGCAGACCTGATCGCGGTTGTCGGAAAAATAAAGTTGTTTTCATTCAGCCAAATTTAGTCAGATATTGGTTTCGGCGCGAATATGGGACATACGCAGACACATTAATGTCATACATATGATTTCGCTTTTATAAGAGTCGCTAAGGGTTTCTGTAGCAGATGTCATGTGACAACTGCTACAGAACCGTCGGAGGTGATTGATCTGTCACACGTAACGCGTGACCAGTTCGACCCCGCGCGACGCGACAGCTTGCGCCGAGGTTGTCACGTCGATGCGGGATCGCGATTCGATCGGAGCCAACTCCGTTTGGCGGCTTTCTCGCGTGCGTTCGCTTGCGTAACCGCTTTCCACGCGGCGTGCCGTCTCCCTTGCGCCCCGGTGCGGGCCGGTCGTTGACACGGCGTCCAGGGATACGCCGGGAAAAAGCGGTCGCGGCTTTTTGCGCGGCGATTTTCGAAGACGCGCCTCTCGCCGGCCGACGGCGCTATTAATATTTATAATCTTGCCCCGCGGTTCTTGCACTGCACCCGACGTCTCGCGTTGTCTTTCCACTTGCTTGTCTAACTCGATAACAATGAAACCCGACACAATATATGCAAGGAGTTTCTTATTTAAGCAGACAGACAGACGGGAAGATGCCGGGTCTATAATACGTATGGATGATTCAAAGGGCGTCAGATGTTTTCTCATGTCACCTGTATACGAAGTACCTAGAATTAACGGTGCAGATAACAATGTTCTGCTATCGCGGTGCGGGCGAGCATTTGTGCGCACCCGGCGACGACGTACCCGCTATCGTCTTCCCTCGTTATCTGTCTGTTATTGCTTATTTATATCGTCTTAAATAGCATCGCGCTATTACTGTCCCGTTGCGTTAGGTTACGTCACAGCGAGACGGTCAAAGCGCGCGCACACGTGCCCGCGATTATTAAGCGAGACGCGACAAGTGAATCCGAGCCGCGGGCAGAACGGGCGCGCGCGTAACACGAAAACGGAACGCAAACGGAAGTGATGCAACGAACGAGCGTTTCGGCGCGCATCTGTGTAAACATGGCGGCGCTTTTCTGAATGGCGGCGGCCGGCGGGCGGCGTTTCCCGCGCTCCGGCGGCCGACGACCCCGCCGCGGTCAGCGCCCGGGGATAGCCGAGTGAAAGTAATTCGCGATCGGCGACCGCTCATGCCGCCCTGGTACCTCGACGCGCGGGCGCGCCGCTCTTAACTCTCTTTACTTAGTACTTACTCTACTTGATTTGTAGTACTCTCGAAGCAAACAGCTAAGGGACAGAGATTTGTTCTGCACAATCACTCTGTGATTGTTCTTTTACTTCCATATTAAAAGTCGTGTCAATGATCGATATTAGTGTCAAATTATGCCACTAGTCCATCCTCTAAGCATACAAAACGTCAAGAGTTTAAAATAAATATTAACAATTAAAACGTCGCAAATCTTTTTCATGTTATAACATTTCGCCACTGTCATTAAATGCAAAGACAGCTAAGTGTTTATAGAGTCCGCTGAAAACGAAACGTGTTTCATAAAAACGTTGCCGAAACAATAAGTGTGTATCGTCGGATTTCGCGAAACAAATTCCGGAGCGTAACACGTCTAACAGTTTTCACTTTCGTCGGGGTTTATTAACTTGTCGTTCGTCAATTTTCGCGTGCGCATTCACCGTCTAGAATGTATCGCCGCGATTTCTGTGTGCCAACGGCCGGCGCGCAGTCATTGGACGTTATTCCGCACAGTCATTGCACTTTCCACGATTAAGACGATTTAGTAGGAGGCGAGCGATCGGATCATAAAGGATCGCAAATCATCACGTTGATATGTGTTACTGCAATGGAAAAAAACCTGTTCATTATCATAGTAGTCCATAAACAGTCTTGCGCCGAATATAAATATAACGCCGATTATTATAACTCAAGACTACTAGAAAGTTTGAAGTTGTTACCCTTTTATAACTACCGAACTTTAAATTACTAATGTGCTTTTTTATCTGCGATCAATTCCTTGCGGAAATCTGAAGCTTAGAAAGGGCATGTATCAAATAAATAGAAGCTGTATTGCACTTGGAATATTCCAGAATCCAGACAATTTTCTCATAGGAGTTATGTTTAGGACACTCGCAACTTGTTCGTACTATGGTTACTAAGCCTTACGATATTCACTATCTCTTATTATGATAATAACGACCAATCTTTGTTATTCAATTACATATCTTGTTGTTGGTGATTATGTTGTCGCGATAAAATGCGTTATCAAAGCGTTAGGAATGATTTGTGCGTAAACAAACATTCGCTTGCAATTTTATGTTTTTTTCAACTGTATTTCAATTAACTGTGGTAGGACCACACAACAGTCTTAACTTTTGCACGTATGGGCTAGTCCCGTGAAGTTGAAGTGTTACACTTCTGCGTTTCGTCTGGTGAGTGAGGTAGCCGGGGCCCGATTTATTAAAAGGTGGCAATGCATCTGCAACCATACGGGTGTTGCATTTGGGCGGCGGCTACTCACTTTACTTAACCACAGATGAGTCACCAGCTCGCTTGGCACGTTTTCATTTAAAAAAGAAAGATCGAGCAATCACGGCATACATAGGGACATATTGCGTAACACACGTGTCGAGTGACCTTCGCGCTTTTATATTCTCGCTGACGGACTTCTCAGCAAAGTATAAGTGTCAAGGATTCGACGCTAATGGCCTAGGAGGCTATTAAAATGGCTGTCGCGCCGAAAGCCGAAAACCGGTCTAATGACACGATTTAAATTTACACAAAGCGACGTCCTCCTAACCGACTGACCGCTGCTTATTGACCTCTAGAACCGCACGCCCGAAGTGTGCTGAGATTTTTTTTAAAGGAAGCGACAAAATCATCTCTGCTATCTTGGATCTGTTTCAATACTGTTAAGATAAGATAGAATACATACCCTCATGAGGGCTTCAGCGATTTTTCCACAGTAGGACCTGTTCCAAATATTCCCTTATGTGGGTGTGTAATTGCGAAACTTGAACCCGTGGTGACACTTAAAATTTAATTAAAAGTCAAAGTTGCCATCGAGATCGAGAACTAAAATTCAAATATACTCAGTATACCCCTTACACAGTACTCCACTTGACAAATTTTAACTAAATGTCCCGAAACCCCGGAAAAAATCCCGGACTTGCGATATGCTAGCGGTATATAATCGTAGTACAAAACACTCACCGATGCTAACACTCTTTCTCAGGTCTTGTGCCTAGTAGGCCACTACCGAGCAAGAAGACTAAAAATGTCCTCACCCGAATAGAGAAGATGGAAGGCCCTCTAGCGATTCTGAAGGAATGCGTCGACCGGAGGCTCAGGGTTAAGGTTCGTAGTACAAGCTTCTTATTCATTCCAGCTCGAGTACTCTACGGTTTTCCTAAAGCTTTCTTATTTTAAACCTTATCACACTATATGATTTTTTTTATTTTCAACCGCCTTCAAAAATGAGGAGGTTATCATTGCAATTGTGTTTCTTTGTTTTCTACCTCGGAACCCCATCATATATAAAACCGATTTGGATAATTCTTTTTTGTTGATTTTGTTAATTGGCTTTAGACTTTGGATTTTGACGAGGGATACTCCAGGGAACCTCAAAATCAAATAGAAAATGTATGTAGTGTGGGAGATTTTAAAAATTGATTGTTTTATATAATCGAGATAATTGCCGAGCATCGCTAAAAAGGCAAATAAAAGTAGGTAGTTGTCGAGATTTTCGCGATGTGATGATATCGGGTGTTAAGCCCAGTTGGTTAGATCGTGCGCGTAACTCAGACGCAGTTTCGAAGCCCGGAAGCTGCATAATACGTGAGATTATCTTCTGTCGTTTAAACGTATAAAATGATGATGACGAGAACGACACGTTGCATACCTGAATCGACCCTAAGACATGCAAAGAGACCAATACAGCATACGAAATTCGCCATTGAAGCCCTTACGCTAGATCTTACTATCAGTCTGCGCTACTTATATTCCAACTAGCGACTCGCCCCGCCTTGGCACGGGTGCAATGTTTATACATATAAACCTTCTTATTGATTCACTCTATCTAGTAAAAAATCCACATCTTCCGATCGTTGCGTAGTTTTAAAGATCTAAGCATACATAAAGAGACAGAGAGACAGCGCGTCGACTTTGTTTTATACAATGTAGTGATGGGTTATAAGACGCACTCTTTCGTTTATGACCCCTCGCAGCTAAACTATGATAGATATAACTAGGTAAAGAATAAAAATTATCTATTTCGCGTCGAGACTAATCAATCGCAAACGTGGTCCTCTCAAAACCAACTCTCATTCGTACTCTCAAAGGAACTTGTGACCTCGGTTCTTAATTTGTACATCCCAACCGAACCGATTATAAAAATAAATGTCCGTTACGGAATTACATTTTGAAAGGTGACATATTTAATTCGTATGGCTGTTTCCGCTCTGCGATCGATTCGGCGAAATACGAAATGTTTTCGTTAAAGAAATTTAAAAAAAAAAAAAACTTATTTTACGATTGAATGATTAATTCTGAGAACGTGCAACTCACTCTAGGAACGAGATTACACGTGTTGCACAAATACCGCCGCGTCACATCTGATTACGCGCGGTGAGGCGAATAACAAACGCCTTTTTTTATCGTAAAGCCGTTGCCGCAATCGATCATGGCGCATCCCATTTCCCGCGCGAGCAGTCCGCCAACGCCGGCCATTTCCCGCGGTTTCCCGCCATTCGGTGATTTTGGACGCGGCCGCCTTTTGTGCATCCTTTGTGCGTTGCTGGCGCGACGCCAACCCGGAACCGGCGTCCGAGACCTGCAGCCGACCGGCTCGGCCGAAATAGACCAGCGGGGCCATTCGCGCTCGTACACGTTTACGACGGGACGTGGGTCTATACGCTGGTCGGGAGGTTTTGAGCGGGAACCCGAATACCGGCAAGCGAAGAACTTGGCTTTCATTGTTTTATATGAACTATAATTTGAGCTTTTATATTTTTATCTTTGGAGTTAAAAGTTTTGCAATTTAAGGCGGGATATTCCTGCGACGTTGCTTTCCACTCTATTCGTATGGCAAGAAAAATTGTTTAAACGTAACAAACATTATAATTTAACTATTCGTTAAAAAAAAATACTGAGAGGAAATCGCAAAGGTTTGCCGCAACAATAAACTGGAAATAAGCAAAGATTGGAAGAACTCATTTTAAATGACAAATGAATATGGTTCAGTTTAATATTTGCAAAAACAGGTTGAAACAAATTCTCATAAATACCCATACTTAAAATATGTAATTTTATATTGGATCTTTGTCTAATTGTTTGTCGAACAATTGTTCTCTTCTACAAACGCGCCTATAGACACTAGGGGTACTTTAGAACTATCTTGCTGAAGTTACATGTAATCTCTGGTTATTATACGCGGTGGACCCGATAAGTGTTTATCGCCGCCTCTAGAGAACTGCAGAACCAAATTGGCAACATTACTGATTTGATTGCAACCTAAACGGTGCATTATCGACTTTTGTGATGATATGGCACTTTCCAGTTCTTGCAGTGGCACAGCGAAGTTCTATCACAATATAATGCACCCGCCACGAATATTCTGGAGGTAAATCATATTGCTGTGAATTATTCCGCAACATCGCAAAGAGTGAAGCCGTTAGTGACGTATGAATGGAGTTGTAATTAATGACCTAATTACTGCCGTCGAGGAAGTGACCCCTAGTTGGACAGAAATACACTGCCAATGAAGGATTAATTGAACTTAATGCACCGGCCGACCTCAAGTGCGCCGTCTACTTTGTTCCTTTGCGTCTCTTTCCCACTTAACGATGCATAACGATAAATAAGACTTTAAAATGATTCAAACCTGCGAAGCCTGCACTGAAGTTTACGTGCCAGATTAATTATTTAAACTTCACGTTAACTTCGTTTGGGACTTTTGTCCTAATATCAACAGGTTGCAATCGTCGACCTGGAAAATGGCAAACAGCGTTCCAACTGTTGCATAATGTTTTGCAACGGAGATTAACGGCCACGGGGCCGGTCCTTTACATTACGAGTATGAATTCTTGTACGCGTTTTCAGCAATAGCTTATTTTACTACGACTCTACAGAAGACCGGAATGAAGTGGAAATTTTATACTCATAGAGGCCCTCTTTATTAAAAGATGGTCACAAAACGTGTGCAACCCCACGGATGTTGAAGAAGTCAATCGAAGGCGGTTATCACTTAACAAGATCTACGGCCAGCTTCCTTGCCATCTTCGTATATAATAAAAGTCCTTTCCTTCGTGCAATCCATTAGGCCAACACGACTGGAGAAGAACCAAGGCCACGCAACAGACCGCCGTGAGTGGGAGAGCGAGCCTCTTGTCCCTTTCGTGTACTGTAATTGTCTATACATCACTGAGATAGAGAAAAGTCAACGGCTCGAGTTTTCCAAACGAAGCGAAGATGACGTCGCGAACTTCTTTTGTGTGTCACATAATGATTCACGAGTGATGGTACAAAGAGATTTCGCTGCGCGGCGCAGTTGGAAAAACGGCGCCCTGGGCGCGCGTGAGTCACGGCACAGGTCTAGGAAGAGCCTTGCTCGCCGTGTCGTTTGTCCGCGCGCTGGACACTGTGTCACGATTAATGCGCAACGCTTTAACACTTGTTATGTCCGAGAAGGTGAACGGGTCCGCGTAAAGTTTCCAGCGAGGAGAGAACTAAAGCTCAGTGCTGCGTTTGCAACTAGTTCCCCTGCGGTTTAATGGGCTTTAGGATAATGGATGGGCACAAGATATACTTTAAACGCGTTTATCAGCCGAGATTCTGCTTAATTTTTTTGTATTCTATACACTTGCAATGCAAGCTATTGCGTCTTTAATAGAGTAGTCGGTGCTGTTTCGTTTTCGGTGAACGCTTAACGAGTACTCTGTCGCACTCAAAGGCAATAGTTAGGACTGACACACCCTTCAATTCGTTATTTGTTCAGCTTCAAAAACTAATGACAGCTTTTGCTATATAATTGAATTCAAGATCTTAGTGCTCTTGTCTCTTAGTGAAGCCACACGTTCGGAATTAGGGAGGTTGTCATCGCCCTATACAAATTCCAGATAGAAATTTTTGCATGGAAGATTAGGATTCAAAACCACTATCTCATCATGATTTGACAGCTCCACAAAAAGGTCACCACCGTCATTTAGTGATAAGTAGGCGACGTACTTCGAACAATTTTAGTCACACTCAAATCGGTGTACCCTACAGTGGCAGTAGAATTTCGTTTGGCTGCGAAATATGTTTTATGTTCAATTTATAAATTTAATGCGAAATTTAACGTCGGTAGACTAAGTATAGTTACTTGATCGCAGAGCATGTGATGAGTCAGCACTTAAATTTTACAATTTCATTGGTGCCGGCACTGGGTATTGAACTCAGGTTGCTCGAGTATATTGAATTAAAGCTTTCCGAACTGGTGGTACCTTACGAACCTATACACATAATCTTTGATGTAAAATTTGACGATTCATAAGAGCGCGCAAGCGTCTATTTGAATAAATATATTTTTGATTTTTGATTTTGATTTTGAAAGGCGAGCGCCCGGATACCGAGCCATCAGGGCTTCGGTATTCTATGTTTTTTATAAATTTCATTAATATTAATAAGAATACACAACTTTGGAAAAAGTGAAATGCGTTGCTTAAACTTTTCTATTCCTCTCTAGAACGTTATGCCAATACTTGAATAACTTTTACTTTCCTTATTAATTTATGATATTCATCATCATCATCGTTTGAGTCCACTGCTGAACATAGGCCACATTATGAATTTACATCGCTACTTTAGCTCGCAAATATATCTTTAATTCAGAATATTAATTGCTACTTCTATACCCTTGTATATAAATATAGATGCATTAAGTAGAAGTGTATTAAATTTCTCGTTAGATCGATCGGATGCGTATCGTGAATATGGCAAATCTTTAGACCACTTTGAGATACAAAAACACTTTAATTGGTACAATTGTGTTACATGCGTTCCGAGGTACCGTACGTAGTTGTTTTCACCTTGAATGTAAATTTGTTGATTAACCGTGTGCGTTGTTTGGAGGTCGTGGCTGCGCGGTGGTCGTAGCGCTCTGATATAGCCGTCCAGGGTTCGGACTCTGCTAGTGATTATTACGCCCCTAATCCAATTCAAATCCAATTTAATCGCTAGAAAGCATCTTCATATCAGAATAGTTCCGGGAATAAAACAACAGTAAGAACTAAACTATAATTGCAGTGAATCAAAATGTATCTGCAAATATTTTGATATAATATCACTCGTAGTGTAGAATAAAGTTATATCGTAGTGACATTTAAAATACTTCGAACTTAAACGAACACGCAGTTTTTTTTAATGTAAGAAGATAGTAAGCCAGCTGTTGGTTCACCTGATGTTAAGTGATAACCGCAAAAATGCAGCTTTTAGTAAAGTGGGCCATGATTACCTCACTCACCAGACGAAACGTAGAAGTATAACACTTCACTTTTTGGTACGGTTTTTAGTGAGGTCGTGGTACTTCCCCGGACGGCCCTGCCCATTCGTGCTGCGAGGTCCTACCACAGCTGCTAGAAGGTTTTAGTAATATTTTATTTGCAATATAGTCTAACGATAGCCCCGTGGAGCCTCCGCCTCTACAGAATACCTAATAAAACGGAGAGCCATCGAGTCTTTAATAATTTAATTTTCTTTTGTACTTCTTTTTTAATGGGGCAACCGTAGGAGATCGAAAGTAGCTTATCCACATTTGAATATGTTGTGGTAGAGTCACACAATTAATGTACCATCTCGATAAAAGAAGCATCAAAGTCTCACAGTACAAGCCCGTAGGAATTTCTCACAAAGTTCTTAAGATCAATCATTGAACAAAGATTTCAGTATAAATATTTATAGCTCTACGTTTAGGTAACCGGGAGCCAACTACTTAAAGGTATTTTATATATTGTTTAAATAATTATTTTATGTTATATATATATTAGAATTTTACAGTGGTAGGGCCACGCAGCAGCTTCCGCTGTTGCACGAATGGGCAGGCAAGTACCACGACCGGGTAAGTACCACGACCTCACAGAAGACCAGCGTAGAGAGGAAGTATGACAAATACTTTCGCGTTTCGTCTGGTGAGTGAAGTAGCCGGAGCTCAATTTTCAAGAGTTTGTCAACGCATCTGTAACCCTCGAGTGTAGCAGATGTCCATCGGCGGCGGTATTCACTTAACATCAGGTGACCCGTCTGCGCGTTTGGCGACTTTTCGCATAAAAATAAAAGGTATTGTTCACGTATAAGGGGAGTGCTCACTCATTATCGGTTGCAGCTAATTTTCGCTCATCGCCTCTTTAAAACGCCCAGAAGCGTATACGTGTGCGCTAAATGTGTGGGCACGGCCCTTCTACATCGGAAATATTCGAAGTCGGCCCCACGGCGAAGGTCTGCTGCGGGCGGCCGCGACAAACACACGTTACTATATGTTACGCAGCATGCGTGTTGCACGTGCGTGTACCGTCTGCAGAAAACCACGTTTTCGGTTCGATAAAACATATTATTTACATTAAAATACGTCCAGACGTGAACCATCTTAAATAAAGGCGAAAGACCGCAGAAAATGGAAACGCTGTTGTCACATACGTTTTCGTAATATACTGTGTAGCTCTCTTTTCCAGACTCTGCCTTATATCTTTCTTCTCTCTCATGTAACGAACCATACCCGATATAGCATTGAATAACCGGCATAGATCTGAAGATTAGTAAGCTGAAGTGGAGATGGGCCGACCATAATAGAGACAGAGAAGAAAGCAAAATAATAGAATAAAGTGACGTTAGCCCCAAACGCATTTAATAAGGGAATGAAAATCGGCTTCACACAGTCTTTTCTGCCGACCGTACCCGGCGGCGGGGCCTTGTCGTGATGTCAGTTATCTCATGGCCATTTTCCACCGCGCTTGTGTGCGTGCGTGCGTGTACGTACGATGATGGGAGGGGGGGGGGGGGGGGGGGGGGCGGAGACGGGCAGGGGGGCGGCGTGTGCGTCGAACAAGGGCCGTCTAGGACGAATCGTGCGCGCAACACTTCCTCGTTGATTTAATCCATTTATCAGTCGTCAGTCGTTTCGGCGCCAAGGCGAGCCGGTGCGCCGAACGTAGTTAATTGCCGATCGATCGGCCTCGGCGGCGCCGAAACGCCGTTTTGTGACTGCGTGTGCAGTGCCCCCGTGACCGGCTGCCAGATCTTGGTAGTGCGTTCGATGCCGGGCACGTTAAGAGCGTTAGAGAATTATATCGCACAAAATTCCCAGTGTAAGCTCGGAAAAAGTGGGTTAGCTTTAGAGGATCAGCTATCAATAGATCAGATACCCCTGTCATGGTAAAGTTCGTAATAGTTTGAGTAACTGCATTAATTTTATTTTTGGTGGGATCACCTAATTAATGAGCCATAATTAAGCTCCTGAAATTCACTAATGCGAAATCGATATTCGAATGTTTTTTTTTTCTTTTATATAATTTGTGTGTGCAGTAGCTGCCAGACAGCGCTCTTGTTTACACAATGAACACGGGTTAAAGTTTTAACTGCGACACAATGCGGTGATGTCATACACGTTAGAATTAAACCAACATTAGTGCCACGGTTGTTTTTGAGTAGCAATTGTCCCGATAAGCCGCAATTGAGAATGGAGAAGGTTTTCAAGACATACAGTCTGATAATTTCTGATAATTTACTTTTATCAACACATCATTCAAATTGGAATATATGAAGTAAATAAATGAACCAGCTGAAGGCGAGGGAAATAATCTGACCATTTGGCCAATTTGAAAGTAATCGCTCATAAAAGAGCCATATCGATGAAAAAGATTGGTTCATGTCTCATGTTCAGGCAAATGCTTTAATTACCCAATTGCAATAAACCCCGTAATTAAAAACCAAGTAAGGGTTTGAACAATATAATTTAGCTTGCTTCACATTTGAAAAAAAAAAGCAGTTTGTGTTTTGTACAATACCGTCGTAATACGTCTGCGAACTTTTTACTCGTTATTATACTCAAAAACTATAATGTTTATCTTCAACCCATACAATGGGCGGGTCAAAAGTAGCAGCGATGATAATCCAATGCGTATTACATCAAAAGCGATCGCGAAGCGATGCCGATGCCTGTTTTGCGGTTCAAACGTGAACTTTGCCGAGTCGGTCCGCGTTTGCATATCGTTCGCATTAAACGATACGCCAAAACCGTCCGGCGCGTAAGTTTGCATGATTTAACATAGTCCACGTGTATTTTTTTCGTCCCACCCTCCCCCGTCCTCCCTCCCCCGACTGCGGTGCTTCGGCAGACCAGCTCACCCCGAATCTTGAGCCGTCGCAAGGTCGCCTACATTCGAAGTCGAAGTGCGACCGAAAAGCACCGCCTCCGTACTACTTTTGCGGGTTTGCGTCCGTTTTTATCGGACCCGCTGCGCCTGTGGCGGTACGTCGAGATACACCGAGCGATCGCCGCGTCTTTCGCGACCGACGTTCCGAAAACCGTCGATGAACTGCGCCTCAGCTTGTTTTTAAAGCTGACGTCACACATGGACATAGTAATGAGCGATCCGAAATGTACTCACAGCTCTTCAAAAGCCTCCGACACGTCGTACGGCCAGCCGGTTCAATTACGCCCCGACGTCAACTGCGAAAAAAATACGGCGCGTTAAAGCATATTCATTGTGAATACATAAATGGAATTGGTCATGAAGGGCCCGAGGCAGTTTAAAAGCAACTCATATTCTACGAAGAAGACGGAGACCCGGCGAGGTGTTGATGCGCTGGCGACGTCAAAACGTCGCGGCATCCAATTCACCATAACCGCCCGTCGCCTCGTTATCGCTCCAATTATCCACAAGGCCCCGCTTGGAGAGAGACGCGCCCTAGCAATACGTTTATAGTTTGAACGATCGCCCGGCTCTCAAGTGCGCGGCGAAGGTATGATGCATTCGGCCTCGCGGGTAAACAGACGCTAGATAGCGCTAGACAAAGACGACGCGAGGTCATGAGCGTAGCCTTGCGCGGGTGCGCGCGCGAACGCTTCCGCCTGTCGACGGCCGTTGTTGCGCACTCGCCGCCCGACCGCCGACAGGAGCGGACCGGTGTGGTGCGGTGCTCGCTTCGATAGAACGAGATGGCGCTCTACAAACCGCTAACTTTTGCCTTATGAAATTGTATATTTAACTATCAAAGTAATGACATAATGAAATAACAATTGTATAGCTATCATAGGATTCGCTTCATATCTATCTTGATAGTACGTCGCGCCAGATCATGCAATCGCATCGCAACAGATGCACAGATGATTTCACGGATGAACGGCGATTGCGACGGTGATAGAATGAATTGAATTAGTAATATAAAATGTACTCTTAATGTATGCACAAAAACGTGCGGGCTAGTCGTGTTGCCACCAACTGTGCCTACAAAATAAGAACAACGATACGTTCATTTGAATTTTCAAATGCATTCTTTTTTCGCATTTTGGAGCAATTTTTTTAATCAACATAAAAAAATGTTTAATGTTGGATTCCTCTTACCGAAATTCGGCGTCTAGCCCAGCCCGCGCTGATAAAAACAATGTTGTGACAATGACAACCGAGACAATACTCCACATCCGAAGACCGTTTTTTATCTATGTTTACGTACGTTATTTTTCTATATCAATATTCGTGTCGCTATCTATGAATTCTCGTATTTATAACGATCTTTTATTAGATTATAAATATAAATCGACGTATGTTTGTTATCAATACCTCGTTTAAATTTTCTGTCTGCATAACATGAAACTTTCATACATAAACTAGCACCAGGATTATCAAGCAAACAAAAATGTTTATTATGATGAGGATGGGAATGCCAAGCAGCATTTGTTCACTTTTATATTGTTAAAAGCAGCCTTTTTTAACCAATAAATAAGGTCGTTGTAAATGCCTTTGGTACGCTTCGTCGTTGTAGATTCGGCTTAATTTTGAGTGTGGCAAAACATTTAATACTTTGTCCGAATATGCAAATGTAAAATCCTTACACTCTTTTTCTCCGGCCTTGAGAAATTGCGGTAGTATAGTAACACTGTAGTATACAAGCGAGTTAAATAGGTTAGGCGCAGTTTCGATTCTGCCATTGAAATTACGTATCACGCGAGCGCGTGCAGCCCGTACAGTAACCTCGCTGCAGCCAGGGTCATTATTTCGCTTCCTGTCCGCTGCACTTTTGCTGGACGCGCCTAATAAGGCTTGGGACGCCCCTTTAGCTTTGCGATAGATATGGATACGCATGTACGTTGTAGGTGCGATTCGAAATCAGTCGCAGTCCGATCATCATCCTATTTTCCAGACACTCTCCTGTTTTTTTTTGTAAAGAACTGGCTGATCTTGATTCTGGCTGAACTTATCACGTGCTCCGCGGTGAAGGAAAACATCGTGAGGAAACCTGCATATTTTCGAAATAATAACAAAAAAATATATTTCGAAAATATGTGAAGTCCGCCAATCCGCAGTGGGGCCGCGTGGTGGACTATGCCCTGATACCCTCTGTATAGAGGAGGCCTTTGCCCAGCAGTGGGACATGTATAGGCTGTTACTTCACTTACTTTTAACTGGCTGACGATAGACTTTTATGTGCGTTCCATTTGCGCTCTCTTTTCCTCTTTCATATTGCTTTCTATTATTCTTTTAGCGCGAACTGGCTAGCGCTTGATCAACATTCTACTTGGTATTAAGTGGTAATGCAGAGGTGGGTAGGAAATTAATTTGCTATACCCTCGTATAAGTTGGCAACGCACCTGCAACCCAATGCTCGGTTCCAAATTTTACAAAGCAACACTGCATCGTGTTCTGCCTACGAGTACACCCTCAAGATATCAACTTTAGCGATTCACGGTCAACGTATTATTACGGTTCAATATGATTTAAATTTTATGTATAAAGGGCCGAGTTGATTGAACATATCTACATACAAATAGCGAAAAGAACCTTGCGGAAAAAATTCCACATCGCACGGATATTTACATTTCGGACGAACTACGCATTTAATAATTCACGAGGTTTGATACGTGATTATTAAAAGTATTATTTATGTGTGTTATAAACAACGGTACATATAACATTGCATAATATTATAAACTGGTTGTCTCCCGTATATAACCAGTATAGCTTAGTAGCTTTGTCGTCCGCCATAATCGCCGATCAGTGCCCAGTAATATACAGTTCAATATCTGTGTAAACTATATGCTAGCATTTCTGTAGGGTTGTAATAAACGCCCATTTCTACAGAGTTATTTTTATCCAGATGATTTAGTCCATTAGAAGTTACTTTCTAAATTTTAAATAAATTATTGGAAGAAAATGTTTACTATTTCGTCGTATTGCTATATTGTACCTTATACTGTTTCTACCACAAATACTTTTGGCGTGGTAATTTTAACTTTACCGGCGCTTGCGATTCTACTCGAGAACCTTCTAGAACTCGAATAATTGTACCACGAGTTCGAGAAGGTTCTACCTTCTTGAATTCGAATAATTCTACAGAGTCTCCAAAAGTGTACAACACAACAATCGTACCTATCGTTTGCACCTAAGGTACTTTAACGCTTATCTCTCAACTACAACTATTTGTCTAGGATCACCCTTCATATCTAGACAAGGAAGTTACCATTAGACCTTCAATTCTCTAGTTCCTGCTACAATGGTCGTACTTTTCAGCAATTACACAACTCATAAAATGCAACGCTTTTTTTTTTCGTTCTGCGTTAAATGAACATAAAACTGTTTTTCCTGCAAAAAAAAAACGGTCGTATACGAATTTACCCGATTCGTGACTTACGCCGAAATGCATTTAAGCGTTTCCACGTGTAAGACGCGAGGACACACACGCGGAAATCGTTGTTTTTATTAACAGCCTGCATTTTCGGCCGTGTGAATATTCACGATGAATCATTATACATTGATCATAGTCAACACGAGAATTCTCTATGCGGATTGACCTCTCAACAGATGCAGCAATGCACGAGATGCACGCTCTGTTCACGTTGTTATATAAAAATGTATTTATTATGTACTAAAAGTTGTGTTAAAATGTTATTTGGTAAAATAATTCATTCAATGCACTACATTTTTGCCATGTTTATAGGCCAGTAAAAATAGAATTTACCTTCGCACTAAATTACCGACTTTATTTCATAAGGTTCGAATCACTTGCTAAATATACAATGACAAAATGAGCTGACAGATTGCGGTAAAGCTTCAGCCATCTTGAAAAAATACTGAAGTTTTGGCTAAAAACGTATTTTCAAGTTTGGTGTTATTTTTAATGGCCTATTAGTACATTTTGTTCTGGGTAATTGAATGTGACATCCATTTCGTTGTCGGATTTCTTTCTATTTCTTTGTAAAGGCATGAAGGCCTACTAGAGTTTGTGTTTTCAACAACTCTCTCATAGTAGTGACTATGAGAGATTTTATTAATTACATTTAGTGGTTGTGCGAAATTATAATTTTTTTTTTACATTAATTAAGATTACGGTTTCAATCGTGCTTTGTTTGTTTTATTAAGTACGTAGACAGGGTATGTCTTATTAAGACATTGTGAGGTTTTTGGAGGATACGTGTTCGCTTTTAGATTAATCGAGCTTTATAGCTTTATTGGGCTGCCTCCAGCCTTGTCTTGTAAACAGTATCAGTTATCGGTGAATGAGGTAAACGGGGCCCACTTCAATGAAAAGGTGGCAACGCATCTGCAACCCTACGGGTGTTGCAAATACCCATGGGCGGCGCTTATCACTTAACATAGGATAAACCGCCAGCTCGCTTCGAAGTGTGAACGCTTGCGGGGGTATTGACTAGATGGCTAGTAAGAAAAGATTTATTCTCCATGAATAGTGTATTAAATGTACAAGGGTTAGTTGTTATACACCGTAATTAATTTCTAACCTAGCACGAATACGCATAACTCGAACGATCGTCCCAGAATGTTCTAGGCAATTTACTAGCGCTGCGCTAAAAACTGAGCCCGATTTAATTGTCACAATCAAACTGGCACGTGTCGTCGAGTAAGTAACGAGCGTTTCTTTGGACATAATCACAATGCGGGGAATACCGCGTCGTAAAACGCTCACTTTCACCAGCGATCGCGACAGTTTCTGATTTTGCAGACAGCGATATCGTCGATAAGATAATCGAATATGTACGTTTGATCGACATTTTTATGTATCGCAAATTTCTCACACTCATTTGGATTTCGGTCGGTTCGTCTTCGGGCTACAGTTTAAAACATTAAGGTGAAAGATAGATTAGATGTGCATGATAAGTAATTTGTTAAATGCAACGCTGGTTGTCGATTGACGGCCGGTTTCAATATCCGGCTATGTCTGCAGATTTGATTAATTGCGATAATAATTTGAAATTAGCTTCATAATAAACACGCCAAAATTCTATCTCCAGTAACCAAATCTACGGATAGATAGACTATCGAAACCGGCGACATGAAGATACTGACTTACGATCGATCAACAGCTATTGGTTCATTTTTTTAGGTGCACCTATATAATACATGCTTTTTTAAGTATCACATATTCAAAGAAACATGGAATTTTCCCAACCGTGGCGGAAATACGGGCAATTGTAATTACTGATAATGTCGACCGCGTACCCATATTACGATGCTTATGTTGGTATTTTTTGTAGGATAGTAGGTTGGTGCGAGCAAAGTTTCATCTGATGGTAAGTGATCAACACTGCCTGTAGGCATCCGCACTCGTTGGTTCAGTTGCGTTGCCAACCTTCACGAAGGCGTTTTTTACGCTGGTTACCTCTGCAAGCGAAATTCAAGTGCTACTTTCCTGAGCAAGCGTTCCTATTTATGTTAAACCGCTGCGTGGCTTTGCCGTGGTCAATAGAGCCCATAACGCTCTCTACGCCTCGGACAACATTTTTTCCGTTGCGTGCTACGGCTATCACGGGGGAAGGTCGGCCGGCGGCGTGACGTCACCCGCGCCCAATGCCGCACGGAAAAAAGATGATGCTCGTCGGCCTCGTAGAATTCCGACAATGACCTTTAAACCGCCGACTTAGTCCGAGACCTTGCCACTAGTTTCGTTGGGCCCTTATCTCCTAGTACGGTGTATATCTCCCGATAGGGCCTGGCCTCGCCTCTATCTGAAGGTCCCGCAGTCCGATTCCGGTAGTTTGTTTTTTCGGCGACCGCACAGCACTACCAGTTCCGCCTTCGCGGCCGAAGCTGAAGAACATCTGGAACCAATGAGGAAGGAAAATGCTCTTTCCTCATTGCTCTTAGATGCACTCTGCGTTTTTTGTCCCGTTGCGCTCGCGAAGGTCGCCCTTTATTGTTCTGATTGCGCCTGAGGTTTCCATAATGCGAGCGTTGGTAGATCGTAAGGAACCGCCGTCGGTTGCATAATTGAGTGCAATTCAAAAAATGCAAACATCAGTTCGATGTGACTTTCGAAAAAGCTTTATATTAACAACGAAACTTTTTTCGTTTGTCTGTTATATGATTTACATTGAATTTCCCAAAGTTGCAATGCTCAGTAATGTTCTTATGAAATAAACAAGACATAAGAAAGAGTTTATTTCTGTATAAGATGAACTCATCTCATTTGCGGATAAAATCTTCTAAACAGTCTTTAGCACTTTAATGTCAGTTCTTATAAAGGCGGCCATAAGTAATCTCTAAAAGAGCGTTAACATTTTATTGTCCACGCCACTCGGAAATTCGGTTTCAGTGCTCGAAAAAGCATTAAGCTCCATTGATCATTGAACTTGCTGACTCATCATCAATATTCGTGATAACCGACATTGGGGTGTACCGTGAAATGTTGATAAAAATCAATAAATATGTAAAATTTAAATATAAAATATATCTTACACTGTACGCTGGTCTGGTTATTTCATTAAGACTATAAAGGGGTGAAGCCTTGATATATTCAAATCGCAGTCAAATCGGGGAGTCGAATTAAATATTGATATGGATAATAACCCGGTCGAAATTTTCCTAAATACTCAGAAATATTTCATACTAACTTTCACTATTCGTCTCACGCGTCGTTCTCCGCTTCTTCCAAGCTTATGAATAGCTGTTGCAGCATGAAGATTCCTTCGTCATGACGCAATTGCTCGAGGAAAATTTACAATAAAAACTACTTAAAAAAGGATAAGTACTACAAAAAACATAATATTTAAATCTCCTAAATGACTGGAAAGTACAAAAGGAACATTGCTTAAAACTAACGACGTCGTACCAAAAACAAATCGGTTGCAGTCATGTGGTTCGCGCCAAATAAAACTGTTTTTTCCCCGACCGACGGTCTGTCGCGGTAAAAAGTGCGGAAGTCACGGCCTATGAGTTTGCTAGCATTGTGGGCAATGCATTCAGACCAATTTTAGCTCATTGCCAAGATCCTCGTTCAGTTTTCTTGTGGGAGTTATAAAAAAAGGTCGAGGTAAAATAATATTCCTTGTATACTATCTTCGTATAATATTACAAAAAGACTCTCAAGATGTCTTTATTAAGTAATATTCTAACAAAAGTGCGGACTGAAGTTAGTACAAAAGCTCAGTACCACTCGTTGTCCACCTAATAAACGAAGCGCTCTACTTTTAACAAACTTACTTGTTATACAACATGCCACAATGTTATATAATTCATAATTTATGCAAAGACAGCCGAAGGTCGAAGCGAACATAAATACGATTACATTGGGACGTTGACAGGCGGACCTCCTTCGTCTATCGGTTCTAATCGACCGTGAGCAGGGGACGGGGGGAAAAAACAACATGGCGTCCGACAAAAACGAAAACACTGACAGGTGACCGTGACCGTGGCACTCAGAAATCGAGAGTACCGGATCTGGAGCAAAGTGCTTCCGCAAGCGACTGAAACTTGTCGTGCGTGTGCAACAAGTGCGCACCTGTTTTAAGCTCATATATCCGTTCATATGTCCGTACTAGCCGTTCCAGAAGATTCAAGGAAGATCGGTCTTGATATCTATTTCAGAAGGTCATGATTGACGTCGATAGATAGCGGTGTACCAGCTGCTACTCTCGGGAACTCAATCAAACTCATTCAGCATATATGGTAAACGGTAGCATTAAACCGCCTAATAGGCTATTGTTACCGATTAGCGTCCATGAGATTGGGGCTTGGCATCCAGTCTATCTGTAATTAATTGAAGTCATAAATAGTGTGCCTGCCTTCGGGCTTTTTCTTTAAACATTCTATTTTTTTTAAACATTACCCTCACTTTAATGACACGTTTTACATACATAAATTTCACGTGGACAAACACCCAGATGTTGAAAAAGCTATCTGTGGGTCGGACAAATGGTTGTCCCGTGTGGAAATCGAACCCACGACCCACGACGCCGAAGCCGAATACCTTGGCAACTGTTCCACGGAGGTATCTGTATGTCTTTTGTGCCTTTTGTTACCCTTCCATATTTTCTTTTTTAATTCTTCTGGTGCTGCTAATGGATATTTGGTGCCGGTGATCATTTAGAACCAGATGATTCACTTCCTCGTTTGCCTTACTTACTAAAAGGAAACACCTGCGTTTACTGTCAAGTTAGTTTCCGATATTATTACAAAGGCATGGAAAAAATTCTGCAAACCTGGCTTCGCCACTACTTAACTAGCGTTACCTCCGATTCAATATTAATGACTGGGCTACCTCCTCCATGAGCTCTTGCGTTTCGCATCAGAATATCGTCGGCTTTAAGTCATCCCAGCGCGCACATCAGTAAATGCTGGACGCGCCTTCAACCACCCATGCATGTTTCAAACGTCTCTTTATCGGCCTCTGAATATTCAACGCGGCCGGCGCGGGGCCGCAAGCGAATGACTAGTCGACGCTCGGCCGCACGCTTCCGCGTATTCCGTTCACTTTCACTGCGAGTGGTGGGACAGCCTGCACTAACTGTTGCCACTACCTCCGATCCTCCCCCCCCGCTTCACCGATTTGGCTCCTAATGCTAACAGCTAAGGGCCAAAATGCCGCAGCCAGCTGAAAGGCACTTTTTGTACCACTATTTTGGAGATTATCGGATTTCGGCTCAAACACGAATGTTATAGAGTCGGTTTTGGTGCGGTGTTAACTCTGAAACGGCCTTGAAGGACGCACGTACGAATTATCACTATTTACTTTCTATAGCGGTCAATGGTCACAGTTGGTGTCTGAGATTCCGACGCTAGTTTGCCGTGTCAATGGGCACGTGCTAATTATATCTATTTTCATTTTTTTCTCACGTCGTAAAAAACTATCAACACCACGAGATTCATATCTACAAATTGATTTTAGCTTTTTAATGCGCTGTTGTGTGTGCGGTAGGCGCTACAAGGTCTCTTTGTCTCGTCCTTTGTCTTTTCAGAAAATGTAGTGATTGTCCGTCGGAAAACACTTTAACAGATTCTCTGCAGTCACATATAAACGATAAATTTTAATAACTAATGGGGTATTTTTATAGTTGCCGAGACCGTGTTACTTTCCGTATGTATCGTCTTAAAACTCAAATATATAGCCGAACTCCGCCGATTGCCCTTGTCCACGTTGAAACAAACGTAGATTTATGACGCTTATTTGCGTCCGACCTTGAGAAACGAATTGTGGTGGCGTGTTTTAAACTTGGAGAGAGATTCGTACATATCAGTCATTTGATTAAAGTATTGTTGCAGTAATGTTTTTTTTATCCTAAGGTCAATACTACAATTTCATCTGATGGCGAGTTGGTGATTACGATCTTAAGAACTTGCTAAAATCACTTATACTTCCACATCTCGATTACGCTGATGTGTGTTACTCAGATGCAAACATGGAGGTTCTTAGCAAATTGGATCGCCTTCTTAATCAATGGTCAAGCGAATAGCTTCATTTATGATGTTCGAAAGTTTGACCATATTTCATCATATCGCTCTCAACTAAACTGGTTGAATATTTCCCAACGGAGGAATCGTCGGATCCTCTGTACGCTTTATAGTATCATTAACGATCCTTTTGCCCCAGCGTATCTGAAGTCTAAATTTCAGTACCTGGGAACCTCTCATTGCTGCAATCTTCGATCTGCTGGTAATCTTACGTTGCTTATTCCTTCTCACAGTACCGGTTTTCTCTCTAAATCCTTCGCTGTTACAGCTGCTCGACTCTGGAACGCCCTTCCTCGTGAAATTCGAAAATCACCGAATAAATTTATTTTTAAAGCTAAAGTTAAGGAATATTTTAATTCGTCGTCTTATGATCAGTAGTATGAATAACGTTTGATAGATATTTCCGTTTTATGTACGTATATATATATATATATATATATATATATATATATATATATATATTTACCTATTATAATATTTATTGTTGTAAGTTAATAATTGTTATCATAATGTATGTATACATATTATATAATCCTTATATAGCTAGCACCTACACTTCTCTTTCACTTACTTTCCGGTTGGCTGGTAGAAAATGCATTATGGCATTAAGCCCGCCGTTTGTACCAGTTAGTACAAAAAAGTGTGTAAATAAATAAATAAATAAAATCTTATCAAAATTGTTGCTTAAAGCGCAATCTTTGCAAAACTGAATTGCCGAGGGCAATGATCACAGAGCGATCGTTCTCGGAGCCCGCGGCACGAGCACTTTCTCTTAGCGTTTGCCCGCTTTACGTGACCTGTGCACAAACCCACGGCGCTCTCCGTCGCAGATTCGCCGATTCAGACGTTTTCCACTTTCTTCTGCATCACGCCCGCTCGTTTCTGCGCCTTCAATATCGGCCTTCACCCTTAGGCCCTGATTTTTGTAGGCCAGTTTATCAATAATCTGATGGATGTCCCCATTTAAGTTAGCTTCCCGCCGTGTCAAAATCGATATTACGCCATCTGTTGGCGCTACAACTTGAGATTCGCTTAGTCTCTTTCTCGATGTTCGAATCAAAACATCTTTACGTAACTGCATAGGTATCTAGGTATTCAAATCTCTTTCTACTTTTGCTTTTAGTAAATGTTGTCTTTATCAACAAATACTTAAAAGGAGGAGGTTCCGAATTCCGTTGTATGTTTTTTATGTTTCTTACCTCAGAGCTGCGTCATTTATGAAGATATTTGAAAAATTCTTTTATCATTTTTCTGTTTAGTGTCCATGTGGTCCCATAATAATTTCATTGGTATTTTACGTTGGAATTGGAAGATACATCAGAAAACCCTTCAAAATAAAATTGATTCTGTTTTTTGTCAATAATTTAATACAATGTAATCGTACCCTATCTGTTCTACCTACAATATATATGTCATATATAGTTTACCCACTTAAATCATTTATTATAATACTAATGTTTAGCATTCGTCCCTTTAATTTCATCTGAGTGATTCTTGTCGAAATAAAATGGGAATTTTTCACAGTGAAAAAATAATTTTATATATCAATCTAACTTTTATATGGTTGTTTCATATTCCGCTTATAAAATGAACGAATTAAAAAGAGACATTTACTAATTCGCTCATCAACAACTTCAGTCGACTTGATATGAAGAGGAAACTTACTGTAGGCTAACATTATCCTGTCTTGTAAGGACGTTTAAAAAACATAAATCGCACGTGGACAAACGCCCAGATCCGAAACAATGATCTGTGTGTCATACAAATAGTTGTCCCGTGGAAATCGAATGAAGGCGAAGCCAATATAAATTTTGATACCTTGACAACTGCGCTGCGCAGTCATAAAACTATAGAAATTAAAGCAGTATGTTAGCGAATTTGCTTAGTTATGTATGATACACGATTTGTAACTCAATACGAGCAGTGTTCTGTAATCGGCATAGATACATCCTTATCCCTCGGCTAGTCATCTGGTATTGGACTCACGTCCGACCGGCTACTTCTTCGCCTCGCGAACCGTTCACGGTCAGCGGAGAAGCCTTCGGGCGTGGTGTTACGAAACAATATGGCTTTTCCTTCCGTCGGACTTGTAACGGTCCTGGTGTAATCGCTTCAGCGCTGTAAGAGTACGTAACACCGCGCACAATGGGAATATTGAACTTTGCGCAGACCCGATAAGGCTGAAATTGTATTTTCCTCCTTCACTCACTTAGTGGTTTAATTAGCAACGGGTCAGTTGTTTTATCTTCATTAATAGATTAATCGCAGTCACATTGGACATGATGACACAGTTCCAATTACATGCTTTTATTTGTAACACAACTTTGTACAAGTGGTGAATCCGAGGACAATAAAACGTAAAACTACAATTCAGTGCTAGAGTTAAAAAGATTTGATATACATAATATTAGACGGTATTCAATGAAAAATTTCGAAACAATAGCATAATGAAACAAAAATCCTAGTATATAAGATCCGACATAATTGTTCAGAATATCCAAGAAATAACTTCTTTAACACATTAATTTGATATGGGAGCGTACGGTTCTTAATAGTTATTCATCATTATCATCCTGCCCTTAACCCACCTAGTTGGGATCGGAACAACGTGTGAATCATGTTGTAAGCGGTTTTGGCTATAATTTTTGGAACGGCCGCCTGCAAGACATCAACCCTTCTTGGGAAACAAACATCCAGATCTGGAATAATTATCTATGGGTTGCACTATCTATCTATGGCTCATGGGAATCGAACCCAAGAGCCCCGACGCCCAAGCAAATAGCTTACCAACGGTGTCACGGAGTAATCCTAATAGTTATTAAAGCAAGGATTAGCACGTTATAAATTACTCTCGTATAGCTCTGTACTTCTTGTTGTTGTTTGTTTAGCTTCGTGATTTCAGTATATTCGCGCCTCGCTCCAGCCTAACCGGTACGGCTGAGGCCGCGGGTCCACTGGCGTCACGGCTTCCTGGTACGAGAATAGAGTGCTATAATGGCGCGGAGATATCAAACCGATGTCACGGGCCGGGACACTTGGCTCGGCGGTGCCAAGGCGAAGGGCGCTGGGCGACGCGCCGTTGCGTAATGTCAGCAGTGAATCCAGTCGAGATATTAAAAGCGATCTAACGAGCCCCGCTTACGTGTAGTGTACACGCGACTGCGTGGGCATGCTTCGCGATTGTGTCTGGGGAACACCCACTCTGTATGTAGCTGTGTTTCTCCTACCTCGATATAACGCGAGTAATCACGTAGAAGATTGCGGATCGAACGAATATTATAAATAAGTTTTTATATTATTTGTTATAAAGAGTTTTTTTTCTTCTACTTATTACTAACTTATTCTATTCGAAATGTTGAAATTGAACCACAGGGGCAAAGCCTATTATGAAAACCGTGCATCTTCCGATGGTTACTGGTATAAGTGCCGTAATAAAAGATCTTTCTTTGATAAGAATGGAAAATCGTAGTGTCAATACACCGAAATATGTTGACCATATTAGACTTTATTATACAGGAATTTCGGTATTTGAAAAATTTCTTTCGGAAGTAATACAACACTATATTGTCTCCTCCTACTGGGAAAGATTTTCTTTCATTTCTTATAGTGGTATGGTGTGCGACGGGATATCTCGGCAAATATAGATATTTGTTCTAAGCCTAGCTGGTTTTATACCTCGGGTCTTCTAGTAATTACAGGATGATATCAATTGAGTAATACGTACGAAGAAGTAGAAGTAAAATAGTACCTTATTAAGCACACTAATTAAAACAGTATCCTTCAATTCCATTCATACGTAAGGTTCTAGGTCAAGAGCATTTCTGTACCTCGGCATACAATAGTAAATCCACATTTTTCAAAATTAGTTTTCTTACACCACTAAAATTGTGAGAAAAAATTCTACACGATAGTATAAAGCATTAAGTTCTACGACGCCTAATTAATAAAATATCCAATCGTATATGACATAATAATCAATAATAATGCATTCAATGATTCCTCCTTTAGAATTTAAGTATTGTCGCATAATGCTGTTTACTTCTGAGGTACAGATTTGACAATAACAAGAACACGAGCGGTTTGCACATACAAACATTAATACTCAAGACTGGCACCTGTCCCTGCATACCTCTCGTAAGCGGGGACTACCTGTTTTCACTTCAACGGTTCTTGATTCTTTTGCCACCATACATCGCTCACTCGCAAGCATGCGCTTTGGTTAATGGGTGGTTTTTACACAGTCTTCTTTTTAGTACAGCGATCAGTCAATTTACTATCATATTAAGCAGAGTCTCCTTTCCAGACCTCCGATATTAGAATTTCTATTTTAAAGTGCGATCAATTTAACAGACAGTATGAACCCGCAACTTTGTAGCCAGACATCGCGGCGGCGGCTTGCACTTTAAGCAAGGCTAAAAGCGGACAATAGGCGAACACTTCCTACGCATTGATTGATATTGATTGGTGTTTATGCGCGAAACATTGCACCCAATGAGCCCGGCTGCCTCCGCACTTCATCAATATCCATTAGAAGTTCGCCAGCGGACCGCAAGATAACAAAATCAAGACATGCTGTAATATATTAAATTTCATTAGTCCTTTTTTATCATGTTTAGCGCAAAAGCTTTGAAAAAATCTATCACGATTTCACTCAACAACACTCTTCCAACGTGGGACTTAAATCGAGTTAGACTTTAAAAACTCAATATTGCTATGGTATATGCTCAGCATCTGATCGCTATTCCCGATGCGTTTGATTTACTGTATTCGAAATTCCGAATAACCTGCAAAAATATACCAACGCTTATTCTAATTGCCTGATATTACATGAAATTACATCATAATCGTCAGTAAATAAAAGCTTTACGAAAGCTGTGTATCTAATGCGTATTCAAAAAGTTACATCGAATTAAGGCCACTCTTCAATCTCACCTAATCAACTCCACGAAAGAGGTCTTACACCAGAAAGGACACATCCATAAATACTCATAATATTTATCGACTGTTACTAACTTTGGGTTTCATTTACATAGATTGTTTTTGTCCATGTCTGCGTACGAGCTCAATTTGCATCGCCCTGTCTAATTCTATCGTGCGTTGTCTTAGTTTACTCAATATATCTACAAAAAACCTGAACACAATCTTCACCGCTAATTTGATATCATGGATTAAATCTATTACCACTTATTTGAAAGTGAGAATCGTTCATATTTATGATAGACCGTAGTACAAGAAAAATGTATTTAATCTAAAAGGTCTATTGTAGCAGCGATTGACATACAATCTCTTGAAGGAATACTTTACGACTGAAAAATTTTTATTTTCTATCTAGACAATACTTTAAAACGCAGATCAAAAATTCTAGGATAATAAAATTAAAAAAGAGACAAGATAACTGAAATATTACAGAAGTGTGATGACCCAATAATGGAAAGGTGCAGAACATAAAGGTGATAGGAAAAGTAAACATGGTAATTATAAACAAAAGTACTGATATTATTTATTCTAAGGTCGTATTGTGATTAAATAAATATAAAGGTGTTATGCAAACGCAGGGCCATGTTGTGCCACGGCTGGAAAAATAAAACAAACAAATAAAGAACTGTTGTGTTCTACTGCACAATGCGTTCGGGAACGATGGTCTTTCGAGTTGAAAGGTTAAATATCGAGATTGGAATCACTCTACTACTGGTCTGCCGCTCGATATTTTGTCTCAAACGCGACAACAGACAGTACTAAATTTTTGTAACACGCCTTGCAACATTTGCTTTAGATTATTGAAATCTAAATATAATAGTATTCCAACAGACAACAATAATATTATAAAAGTAAACTGAAATCTCCACAATTCCTTAAACTTTTAGATATTTTTATTGATACCGGATTGTCACTGTACTGTTCAGGCAGTTAGAAAAAGAAGCTTTATGTATCCGCCTAGTTCTTAACTATAGCATGCGATGTTAAGTGATGCTGTTGCTATCGGAGGATACTGCATTAACTCGGTATAAGCATATATAGTATTGTCTAGAAGACAATTCAGTTACAATTCTTAATGCTTTTCATGTTTCCATTGCGCCCTTCATTCTTCATCCTGTAAATATGTTTTTTTTTATGTCAGAAGGTGGCAAGCGAGTTAGCGGTTCACCTTGTTAAGTGATAACCGCCGCCCATGGACATTTGTAACACCCGTGGGATCGCAGTTGCGTTGCCACCGTTCAATAAATTGGGCCCCTGCTACCTCACTCACAAAATGAGACGCAAAAGTGTAACGCTTCTAATCTTCACGCCGGCTGTAAGATCGTGGTACTTCCCCGGACGGACCTGCCCATTCGTGCAACAGAGAAGACTGCTGCGTAGTGCCACCATTGTGCGACCTTTCATGTAGCGAGTGCAAACTTCCAGTGCCATCTAAATCCAACCGAACGCAGCTGACGCGAGCTCGCCATACTCCGTGTTGCAGTCCTTCAATTAGATTCCCGCTTCGAAGGCGCAATGACGCGCCTCCACCTGCATTGAACTTGATGCAATTGAAGTCGCAATGCAGCGTGATTGGTAAATTGCGTGCATCAATGCGCTTCCTACAATAATGGCGTTCCCACATCTAGTCAATGTCGACCGCGACGATAGTCCAAAGCATTTTATTCTGTATTATAATAACAAAATGGGCTGATTTCCTGTGGTTGAAGCAGTTTTGTCCTTACAGACTATGTTTTCTTTTTCCGCCCGCGATGATACCGTCTTTTAATTCGGACTTTGTAGAACATGAGCAGAATTAATGCCCTTATGTGGAAACGTTAGTGTTCATTACATTTTAGCGGAATTTGAATTATGGAGAACATATCATGAATGGAATGGAACATATAACATCAACATACATCTTAATAATAGGGAGTAATAACTAAGTATGGACTAATCGACGAAATGAAATTTTTACATACCTAGTAAATTGGAAAACTGGTAGTCTCTGCTGTAATAATTTTAACTCATTCATCATCATCCTCCTTCCCTAATCCCACCTAGGTGGGGTCGGGGACAACATGTGAATCACGATGTAAGCGATTTTGGGTATGTTGTTTACGATCGACCGCCTGCCTGATGTCAACCCTACTTGGGAGAAACACCCAGACACCAAACAATTATCTGCGGCTGTGTGGGAATCGAACCCACGACTCTCGATGCCGAAGTCAATAACTTAGCAACAGCGCTATCGAGTCGTCTAACAGTAATAATTTTAACTATTAAGCCTTTATTGAAGTTTATATGCTCGTTTCAGCAAGATCTTGAGAGAAAAACGGTGTCCTGTCATAGAAGAATTTGTGAGAAGAATATGTACTCGGTACAGATTACACGTTATAACCATTCCAATGGTCAAAATTAGCTAACCTTCGACGACCCGAATGGCGTAGTAAGTAGTAGCCTTCTACGCCAGAGGGTGCGGATTTGTTTGATCCCCACTACTGGAAAAATATTGTGTGATGAACATGTTTTTCTAGTGTCTGGGTGCTTATATATGTATTATATTTTTATTATACTAATATTTTTATACGTCAGGCCGCGAATGCCGAAGACGTGGGTTCGATTCCCACAGCGGCGACAATCTTTTCGCACTTTTTCTACATATTTTGATATTTTTATAATTTTTTGTATTTGTGTTTTTCACCGAAACGACGATAGAACGGAGCCCCGAAACTTCGCGCCGAATTTGAAACGAGCAGAATGCTGGTTTTCGCAAGACACATACGTGAGGCGCTTCAAGTGCAGATATTGGAGCAGTGCCCTCACGATCGCGCCGCCTCCGACCTTGCGCGGGAACAACTTTCCACCCGGAACACGGCGACGCCATTTTTATTGACACCGCATCGCGGCCGGCTGAATGTTTATACGCCTTTGCCCTTATTCGGACCTTGATTTTGTAATAAACACTCGAAACGTTGTTCGTTAGTTGCCTACGCAGTGACAATACTCGTGTATTCGTAATTACCACGAGCCTTTCTTCTGTACATCAAAGTTTTTTTCAAAATGGACTCGCTACTCAACACGTGTCTAAGAGTAAGGAGAAACTCGTTGTCGTGTTCACAAATAAATTCTTTTCTAAATTGTACAAATGTACGTATCATTAATTGCATTATCATACCATCTATATATTCAGGGCTTATCATTAAATCGCATTTTAGATTTGATATAAGTTTGGCTTGAAATTTTTGTAGAAAAACATTTTTCGCCGCTGCGAGAATCGAATTCACATCTTCCGGATATGCTCTCAAACGTTTTAACTATTTAAGCTAAACGGCTAAATGTTCATCTTGTGTGCAGGAATTAGCACTATTAATATTTAAACTTTCTAAGTTTAGCTTTCTCTCGTTCTAGTAGCTTTTTCGATGAAATCTGAGATAGCTGCTTCCGTTTTCAAACATTCGGTGCTCTCTGAATTAGACATCTTAGATCTCTTTCATATGAAAAATTTGCTGTTGCGATATAATCCGCTGCATTCAGTGTTTTTGATCATAACATTCGTTTGTTATAGTGTATTTATTATTAGTTTTAGTCTGATTTCGCGATGGATATAAATTTCTTCGGGCGTATTTCTTGTTTCTGCTATCAATGCTTTATGAGATACTTGCATTAGCTTTTATGGGCACCTCAGGGATTGGGATCTACCTTGATGTCGGCGCGAATCACTTACCTCGGACGAAAAGTTGCAGAAAACGACGGAGACGATGCCGCGTCACGTGTGGAAAACATCATGGCTATATATAAAATTGTTGAGATCGGACGGACCTTGGTCGGGTGCTTACGAATTGAGCCAGCCCGGTGCGAGGTCACCGCTGCCAGTGTGTGCGTGCCGTGCGACGTGTGTTTATGTATGTGCACGCGTATGCGCCCACGTTTTGCGTATGGCTGATTGAATTATAGGTCAGTACGGATGAACGAATTTATCCGTCCTTGACATATTAAGCCGGCGGCGGCTTTTGATGCCAGTCCGATTGCCGGCATGTCGAATTGATAAAAGCTCCTAGCAGTCAAGTCGGAAACATAACGAACAATAATCCTTCTATAAAGCAATTTACTTTTCTCGTTATGATTTCATCGATGCATCTTATTATAATGCGCAAACTTAGTTCGCGAGTGTACCGTCCCAGCCGCTGATGATACCAGCGCCTTCCCTCGTTAATACCAGCATGCCCTTAGTTCGAAAGGAAAAACACCTCACAGCGCGTTACGTGGAAAATAACCGCGTTATCGCCAAGGCCCTTTAGTGAGTGAGAATACGAAAATATAATCACGAAAAGCCCACTTTTTCCTTGTTCACTTTTAATGGCTCACCAAACCCAAGCGGACCTTGGGGTTAAACCTTTGTCTGCACTTATGGAGTACTGAAATGACTTCATAACTTAATTGCTCAATGCATCTTGCCTTCGCTGCGCAGGTTATGTTGTTTTCGCCAATATTCTGTTTTATTAAGGCAACCGACAAGAATAAAATTCTCGTGTCTGCAGTGTATATGCGTAGATGTATCGAAAAAGTCTTCACAAGCACGAAACGCAGTAGTTAATATAAATAGCCACGATACCACGACCTGTCCTAATTTATTAGATGGCTACTAACAAACAGACAAGCTGAATATAGAAGTAAGCGTATAGTTTAAAAATCTTGAAACTACGATAGACAGAGCGGACGTTCAGAAAAATTTTGTGCTAAAAATACGTTAGGGCAAATTCAACTCTACCTATTTGTAATGTCTATCAAAATTATAAGCTACTTACCAGACAACTATTTGGCATTTTGTTACAATGGAAGTCCCGTTTACATCTGAACACATGAGGTGGAACGTAGGCCTCGCACCGACTACCTGGAAGAAGGAAATACTCTTTAGATAATGATTGTTTGAATGAAATTTGTCACGAGTTATAACGTAGCAGACGAAACAAGAACTCTATCTAGGTCTAGGATTCGGAGTTTGAATCTCAGTTGCTTGTTTTACTGTGTTATTGCGTCAATAGTCGCCTAGATCGATCAAGATTTAAATCCCGATAATATGTTTAGAATAATGAAAAATATATTCAATAGAGAGGTTATAAAAAAGGAGCTGTAGTACCTATATAAAAAAAACAACTGTTATACTGTAAACTAGTTGGACTTAGCCTGACTTGTGCCTTTCAATTCTGTTGGAACTTCGAAATAAAAAGTATTTAAAAAAACTCTCATGTCCAATAGCCGTGTCATGAACAAATATCAATTCTATCCATCGGCTAATTTTTGAGTTACGTGGAAAAAAACATGCGGAGCCTAAATTTTTATATAGCTGCAACGGATATTGCAAATAGGTTTTTTACCGTACTGCTTTGAAAAAGATTCCAGGCGTTGTTTAAATGTGGGTTCGTATCGAATAACGCGAGTTTAGTTGGTTAACATACGAGGAGGCGGGGGTGCTCAGCTCGAGTAAGGCTCAGCCGCCCGTTCGCTTCGTTAATTGCACAAAATGCTAGTACAGGGAAGGGGACGGCCCCTGGCGGTTCCGATGCGGTGTAAATGCGATCTACGAGAAAAAACATTAGCGCCATTATTGCGCGCAAGAGTTCCCACGACCATAGACGCTGGTTCTGTACAATAAGTTTTATTCAAAACAGTGATTTATCGAGTGCACGACGGTGATGGAGAACATCGTGAGGAAACCTGCATATTTGCGAAATAATAACTAAAAAAAAATATTTCGAAGCTATGTGAAGTCGGCGCATCCGCAGTGGGGTCGCGTGGTGGACCTTGCCCTATTACCTACCCTCTGTATAGATAGGCCTTTCAAATTCAAATTCAAAATATCTTTATTCACATAGACGCTTGCCCGTTGTTATGAAACGTCAAAATTTTACATAAAAAATAATACGTTCGTAAGTTACCAACTTTACCGCCACTTTGCCCAGCAGTGGGACATTTATAAGCTAACTAATTCGAAATATTTCGAAATATTCGACTATGCCCTGATACCCTCTGTATAGAGGAGGCCTTTGCCCAGCAGTGGGACATGTATAGGCTGTTACTTTACTTTATGCTAAAGAATTCGAAATAGCATAATTAATTGAGGTAAGTTTTCCTTACGCCTGTTTCATTGTCCTCTGTAGTTTCTTAATTAGTAATAATGTAATATACATACATTAATATTTTCTTGATTGTCTAACACCCATAAACTATCTTTTTTTTCTTTTTTTTTTTTAACATCGCCCTTACTTTAGGATAACATTATCCTGTGTTGTAAGGACATTTTACAAAGATAAATTTCACGCGGACAAACACCCAGATGCGAAACAACTATCTGTGGGCCACACAAATACTTGTCCCGTGTGGGAATCGAACCCACGACCCCTGACGCCGAAGCCATTTCTGCCAAACGATGAGTAACATGTACATAGGTGCACATTATCTCAGAATAGAATAGAACAGAAATGATTTATCTGCATCAATACAGTAAAAAATTTGTTGTTATCAATAAAATATTGAACATTGTATTCTACCACAATTCGGTTTGCAAACATTTGTGAAACATTGTTATATTTGAAGCATAATTAGCAGTATAAATAAAATTAAAATTATAATAATAAGCGATAAAGAGATAAAGTTACGCTAAGATTAAAAGCTTTTATGCAAATGGCGTCCAATATTTAAGACGCTTTTCTAACTACCTTTAATTGGTTCCCATCGATCAAGACATTAAGGGACACGGTTCTCATTTAGTTTTAACAGTGCACTTTGAGCAATTTTTTTACTCTTTGTGGATCCCTAAAAACACGGCCCGCACATTTTCTCCGTCGGTGGCCGCGCTCTGTGACGTAGTTACCGTAAACTCCGCACCGTCGACAGGTCATGCGTTAACTCCTTTGTTGTGCGATTCATTAAAAGCGAATGTAATTTATGCGAGGGCCTTTTACGGGACCTGCGATTTTTTGCGCCCCCCCCCCCCCCTCGCTACAATATTCACAGGCCGTTAGTTTGTGCGTGGAAGGAATTTAATTTGCCATTCAAATGCATCAACGGCGAAGAGGTTGATGTCTGCAATTATTCAAATGGCCTTTCTCGTAAGCTATTACATGAATTCTATGGCTTTATTTGTTACTGGAGTTTTCGATCGCGCGTACGTAGCCTCTTGTTAAGCGAGGGTTGACACGGAGAATGACCTGCGTGTGGAGTGGTGTTGAAAGTTCTACATCGTTGATTGACCAACATAAAGCATACAAAAAGTAAAGTAACGTAACAGCCTATATAAATCCCACAGCTGGGCAAAGGCCTCCTCTGTACTGTATTAGAAAAAAGTCTAGGCCTGCGGATTGGCAGACGTCACAGCGGATACATATCTTCGAAAAACTTTTGTTTTCCTTCCCCGCTAAGCACGTGATAATTCAGCGCTTGAAAATTACAATTTCATTGGTGCTGGCATCGGGATTTGGACTCGGGTAATTCTAATACATTGAATTAAACCCGAGCACTAGGACATTCTCGGTAAAGAATAGAGAAAGCTAAATTGCTAAGCAAAAGGATTTAAAGTTAAACAATAGTTGCAAATTATTGCATTTTCTCTTCTTCGCTTCATCGTCTATATCAAGCTTGGTCGGGGCTCTTACGACACGTTTAAGAGTAAGAACACTTTTTACAGCACGCACGTAGATCAGACACTCTCGACGGCCTGTGACTATGACTCAAATGTTTGTCTTGGAATAATTTAATGCATTTATCATACATTAAGCGGATATAAAGTCGTTTTCCGTGTCTTATACATGACAACGTATCAATGGCGCCAGTGGGTTTAAGGCCGCCCTTAGAAAAGATTTCGATATGATCTTAGTAGTTGCACTCAAGCGTAAATCATTTTGGTCATTCTCTCTTAGTTTGGTTTGAATTGGACTTGATAATAAACGTTGTGACGTTGTCTCTAGTCGTCGTAAACTTGCAATATGAGACCGCATGGCAACTTTCTGGAATAATGTATCATCGGCGTGATTTCTGGACCGATGCGTTTACTGGCCCAGTCTCCTAAAAGCTAGCTTTTGTGGCTTCTCTGGTGTTTCTAATGTCCCTGGGCGGCAGAATCACTTACCATGAAGTAAAGCGTCTGTTCGTTCGTTGCTTCACTCTCCATATAGGATATAATTCTTGGGGATTAAGAAATGTAGGAGCACATTGGTATGTTCCATAAACTTTGTGGAACATAACAGCACGCTATATCTGCCTTGCTGATTTCTATGTGCATATTTGGCAAACGAACGGGCGGTTCAACTTATATTAGGTGATACCAACCTCCCAGGGGTTGTAAACGTTGCAAACGTTGCCTAACCGTTAAACAGTGACCCCGGTTACTTCACACACCAGACGAAGCGTTAGTCTCGCGCGAGGCTAGGTAAATCCCCGATTGAGTTTGCCCATTCGTACAACAGCCAAGGTGTTGTGTGCATCTGCCACAAAGGTGATAAATGACAGAGCTTCTATCGTTTATCACTACATAGTATAAGAGAAAGTCATCCCGCTGTCTGTCTGTCCCTATGTATGCTTAGATCTTTAAAACTACGGAACGTATTTTGATGCGGTTTTTAACTAGATAGAGTGATTCACAAGGAGGGTTTATATGCATGATACATTGCACCCATGCGAAGCTGGGACGAGTCGCTAGTTCTTAATAATTTTGCTTGAAATTTGCACTCTCACAGGTAGTAACGAGAAGCGCCCGCGGTATCAGGGGCGCCCTCCACGCGACCCTGATCGCCTTCGACAAGCAGTGGAACCTGGCCCTGGCTGACGTTCTAGAGGTGTGGACTAAGAAGGCACCGAGGAAAAGGAAAATACCGCCTGCTTTGGGTATGTTTAATACTGCAAGAGCTGGAGCGTTTCCCAAATTCGACATTCCCATCAACAGATACATTCCGTCATGTGCCAGACAAGTACCACCCATTTGGTTATCACCATCATCACTTGGCTTCGGCTTGACCAGTTTAATATAGGTCTTAAGGCACGCTACATTATGACGTGATCCAGTCAGTAGTCTAGTAAAAAATCATAGCATTCTGTTATTAATAAAAATAAAGTATGTAAAATAAAGTATGTATCTAAAAGCGTACTGATGTACGCACGTAAGAAGTTATACTTCTTTAGCATTAATTCATTAAATGCAATTGATAACGGTTTATTTAATTAACTTGGAATTATTGGTAAATGTCAAAACGTTGTTATTGGCTGCCAAGATTAAATGGATCACGAAGCATCATGTCGCTTTTCTCTCATAGTTTTTCCAAACGCGCCAAAAGAAGTATAACTTCAAAAACACATATATGTACAAAAACAACTTTGAAAACTTCCTAATTATTGCAGAGCTGCAAGTCCAATAACTTCAATACTATCCATCGCAGGTACACCTGTTCCCAAAGGTACCGCGGCGACAATATCCCACGTCCCCACAGTAACGGAGACCCCTCTGGGGAAGGGTGTATGGGAGTGCACGCGCCACATCTCGCAGCTCATGGTCCGCGGTGAACACGTGGTGCTGCTGAACATAGTGGAACGGTGATAGAGACCTTCCTATATGACTCGCAGTACGTTGGACAAGGACGGACTGATACGCCTTTATTGTGACCGAAAGTTAGACGTCATACAGAGCCAAGTGCAAGTGTCTGCAGGCAAATAGTGTATCGCTTGAAATTTGGTATTACTAGAACAGTGAAGCCAAATGCTCCCCGCGATAAAAGCTTATCTGATTTTTATAGCTACTAGTAAATGTCGTGAATATAAGAGTTTACCGCAAAAATGGTCAATATTATCCTTACTGTTTGTTGGGTCCCTTACCCTTAGCGTAAGACCCGTCCGCATTTAGTGTAATTGCTTTCATTGACATGTTTTCCACATTCCAAGAAATCGAAACTTGGTTATGGTAAAATACTTTATTTTCTTTCACTCTTTTATATCCTCTTATCGTTAGAAAGGTCCTCTATCCCTACAAAGATGTAGTTAGACAATAAGGGTAGTGTATGTCACTATTAATATTCCTTGATTATTAACGATATTGTTACATAAGAATGATTATGTTCAACTCATTTTTACTAGCTTTAAGAACATTGCATAAGCAATAAATCGTTGCTCCTTATTTATTGTTGTTTGTCTTTAATCCCTTTTGTAATTAGAATAGTGCGCACGTATAGTTACGTAGTTATAAATATGCACTAGATAACCAAAAATATTTAATTTTTATTGTGGTAGGGCCACGATATCTTCTGTTTCAGGAATGTCATAGACCAGCTTGAGGCAGAAGAACTTTTGGCTTTCGTCTAGCGAGTGAGGTAACCGGGGCCGACTTTTATAGAAGTTGCAATGGAGAGGTCCTCCATGTGGCTTGTTAGCCAAATTTTCACATATTAAAGTTCATATATCAGTGATATCTGCTCGTATAGTATGTAAGAAACTCAATTTAAGATATCTTTATTAAATATATAAGCATTACAGTTACTTACTGATTGTCAAAACGATACCACCGGTTCGGATAAGAAAAGCCACTGAGAAGAACCGGCGAAAGCTCAGCGAAAAAAAAATTTTAACCATTATTTGACAAGAAAAATGTTTACAATGAAGGCCCAAAAAATATTGAAGTGTCCCCTTGAAGCAACTCGTGCACTCAGTTTCGTATCGGGGACCGTAGACCGCGAGTCCATCGTCTCGGTCACTGGTCGTTAATAGCCTTTAGTCCGACAATTAATCTCGAAAGAAGTGAGCATTAGGGCAGTCCGCCGCGGCCGCGCCGGTCGGCGAGTTTGGCAACGCAAGATAATTGGCCCAATTGATCGTCCCGCTATCGCGAACTGGTTCCATTCTAAATAATTACCGGTCTCTGGGCTTTAGAAACATACATTAGCAAGGGCCAGCCACTGACACAAAGTTTTCTGACGACGAAAAGTATTTATGTCCAAAGTTAGTTTGGATTTGCTTTATTAAGTGAAACCTTTACAAATATCGTACTATTGCTACAAAATTATGATAATCTAAACTAACTAAAACTAAATAGGTGATAAAATTAATACAATGTACACTATAATATAAATAATAATGTAGTATAATACAATTTGTAAAACCTATTATCAGTATTCTTGTTAGTTAGTGTTTAGGAGTTTGTAAAAGTTAAAACGAAAGTTTAGAATGTCAGTAACAAGATAAAAGTCGAAGATAACTTATACGTATATAAGCAGTTAGAAAAAGTGTTGATAAGTTAAAGAAATACGACAAATTTGCCGCTAAGGCATCTTCGAAACGGTAGTCATTCTAAAAAGGCTAATTAAATAGATATTTAATTAGCCTTTTTAGAATGACTACCGTTTCAAAATATTTGTATTGTAACAAAAAATATTTGCCATTAACCTTAATATGTTTCAAACAACTGTCTCGTGTTTCATTTACCGCGTGGTTTAATTTCGGAACAAATTTTAAATAAAAGTAACATACACTGGCTTAATAATACCTTTTGTGTTTATCTACCGTATGAATTATGACATTCCAAATATCCAGTCTTCAGCAATTGCGACGTGAACGGGAACATGCACACAGATAAACTTATGTTAATGCGATGCCAAGATATCAAAATAATGTAGAGCTATTTTTTAAATATGTATATTTAAATTACTCGCAAACCATGTCAATAAAACAAGTGAAGAATTTATTCACATCAAGACATATTCAATTGTAGTCTGCCCGGCTTTAAAGCATTTCTCCGACGTGTCTTTGATGACTCCGTGGCGCAGTTGCCAAGATATTGGCTTCGGCGTCGGGGGTCGTGGGTTCCATTCCCACACGGGACAACTATTTGTGTGACCCACAGATAGTTGTTTTGCATCTGGGTGTTTGTCCACGTGAAATTTATGTATGTAAAACGTTCTTTCAACACAGGATAATGTATCCTAAAGTAAGGGCAATGTTTTTATTAAAAAAAAGTAGTCTTCTGGTTCGGACTAAGCAGCTGGGTGTGTAGGTTGGCTTCTGGTCGTCTTCAGATTTAGCAGATGGATATGTTGTTGCTACTCACGGGTTATTTAGTGATTAGTTAGATTTTACTTTAATCAAATTGTAATAGTTTTAGTTTGATTATTTCACTCTTATTAAATTTGATTTCTTAGGCAATAATATTTTATCTCTACGGAAGATGTGTTTAGTTCTAAGTGGGTTACAGGTTTTGGTTTGTCACCTCTTACTAAACCTTTGATTTAAAAATAAAATATCATAAAGTCGACAGCCCTATTTCAAGCGCAAACGCGCAGGAGTAAAACTGTATGCCTTTATCATTTTATACTATACGGTAATAAATAACTTGTCGATTAGACGAAAAAAACCTCGCTTCGGGGCACGTATTAGATATTGCCTTCGATATTTATTTGGAGGTCGAATTTTAAAGCCGATTTGGACCCCTAAAATCGCTTAAGCAACTCTTTTATTTGCCAAATATGCTGCACATGGATTAAAGTTTATTTGCAGCCCTATGTTATCAATGTCATTATCACTGGTGAGAAGGAATGTTTTATGGCATGTAAAGAAAGCTAATAAATCTGATTCCTTCCGTTTTTAAATTTGGTGCTGATAACAAATATCAACAAATAGCAATGTGTTTACAATATCTTGTTAAAATTTTTTTGGTTAATTCGCTAAAAAGTTGAATGACGTGTCAATTTAAAACATACTTTTGAAACGACAATTGAGAACTGGAGACGTGATTTTCAATTGATGAAATTTTATTTTTATCCCTTTCTAATTTCTGTTATTTATACGGTATAATCGAATATATGTAATCTAACTAGCTCATACCTCCGATTTCGTCTGCGTTGCTTATATTAACAACTACATTACTTGCCCCATTTCTCTACGACAAGAAAACACAACACTGAACGTATAGTGCTTAAAAAATCGTTGTTTCCTAAAATTTTAATTACTTTAGATTGAATGAAAATATCTCAACAATATATATTTTAGATAAGGATCAAGTGTCTAAGAAATAAAGCTTAGAAAAATTCCTTGAAATCTCTCCAGTAGTTTTTGCGCGATGCGCGCACAACGGCAGACCTATATCATTTTATGAAATAGGAGATATCATCATTTCGATATTTTGTGGGACCAGTAGACCAATCCACCTGATCCAAAACCCCTGTCTACTCAGATTTATTAACGCGTAACGAAACCGACGTTATACGGTAAAGAGATCGTTTCCTACCCCTGAAAGCGTGGGAGTGCTTGGCCGCCCGCCAGGGGGCGTCGCACCCGATCTCAGGCCATTGTCGCCGCTAATCGAACCAGCTAATTAAAATAGACAACACTCGTAACTCAACTCTGAAAATTTCCCTTAGTTTATTTACGGCGCTGGGAAACATTCGCTCCCGAGGGGAAAATTCTTCAGTGTTACAGTTTTATTCTCGTCTTCTCTAAACTAGGGTTAGTGTAGCATTATATTATTGCACATTAATATGCAAAAAGAGCCGTGATAGCTCAGTGTCCGGGCCTTTAATTCAATATACTCGAGCAACCTGAGTTCGATCCCCGGTGCCGGCACCAATAAAGTTTTTAACTTTAAGTGCTGACTTATCACGTGCTCCGCGGTGAAGGAAAACATCGTGAGGAAACCTGCATATTTTCGAAATAATAACAAAAAAATATATATTTCAAAAATATGTGAAGTCCGCCAATCCGCAGTGGGGCCGCGTGGTGGACTATGCCCTGATACCCTCTGTATAGAGGAGGCCTTTGCCCAGCAGTGGGACTTGTATTGGCCGTTACTTTACTTAACTTTTACATTAATATCTCTGCTTTTGTCAAGAAACATACGATTGTTTAACGACGTCCATCACGTGCGATTTCGCGCCATTTTTCGTTGCATATATAAAAGTTGCCGCCGAAAAAAGGCAATCAAGCAGCAGTCTGGCTGTCAGCGGTCTCTATTTTTTCGTGAAAAAAAAATCTCCGATTCGAATTTCGAATCGAGATGGCGTGAAAGCACGTGAGGCGCGCCAGTGGCCGCGCGGTGCGCGAGGTCGACGCACGGTCGCCGGCGGTCATCAGCAGGAGCGACGCCCGCGGCCGCCCGGGAGCGGCGGGTGGAAATGGGAAAACAATCGTTGGGAACAATGCGTGGGCTCGTAACTCCACGTCGACTTCCGTGTCAGCTGGCCGGGGTTTACGTCGATCGTTTCGTCGCAACGACCGCGGACGCTCTGTGCGTCTGTTATTACGACTAACGTGTTCTGCGATCTGGGAAATTGGACTGGGAAAATGTCTCGTCCGTTCGCAGAAGCAACTAAGCAGGCGTGGCAGCAAGGATGCTAGACGCATAATCGCCTTCGACCTTTGACGGCCCCCACGCGTACCATGTCGTAAATTTTCGACATGTTAGTGAAACGATGTCGCCTATTACGGCATCGACCTTACTCTTAAATACGCGGAAATGGAATAAAGGTGGACAAATTAAGAGCGAATCGCTCGGTCGCTCTTGAACTTTGCGCTTCGGATCAAGGAGTATTATAATAAAAAAATTAAAAAGAGTGAGGACGGTATCAATACCACTGCCATATTCAAATATGACAGTGGTTTCAAAATTTTACCTTAGTTATTAGTCTTGGAACCGCTGCACTGAGCAAACACAGAGCCTACACAATTCAGAAAAGCTCAAGCTACTCCTATAGATTGTTATCCGCACGTTAAGCTCGTCGTATCTCGGCTGACAGGCTCGGCTACGGGAGGGGGCCGCGCGAACTTTCTCCGCGCGGCCGAAACGCTCAGAGGGCGGGTATAAATAGGCCGATTGCACAACGGCGGGCGATGCACCGCGGGCCCGGCGCCACCGAGCGCCAGACCTTAGGTTAACGCCACGAACCTAAACGACCCCGAAAAATCTCCGGTTAAGCGAAATAAAACTGATTCCACAAACTCACACAATGCTCTACGCAGACCCATTGCAGAATACTCCTAACTTCCTTAAAATATTTCATCAGACAAGCTCTACTTACTAAAACTTCTTTCACTGCCGATCTAACTTTGTTATGTACACACACCACACTTTATGTTTCACTGATATGACTTGGTGGCGCAGTTGTTTATCCATTTGCTTTCGGAGTCTTCGTTTGTGGAGGTCGTGGGTTCGATTCGAACACTCAATTGTTCTGGATCTGGACGTTTGTTCCCAAGAAAATTGATGATGACTAATATAAGTCAATACACGTTACAAAATTTCTAGTGCTTAGATATTCCATGGCGTTATCATTTTCTTCCGTATAGTTAAATAGAATTACTGCGCATGTTCCTGCTAATATCAACTATACCTCTCACATCTTATAGTGTCCACGTAAGTCGCCAGTGCAATGTCTCCGCATGACGACTTCATATTTTATTAATGAGTAGGCCCAGACGTTAAATAATATAAATAATGCAGTAACGTGTGTCCCTGAAGCTAGTTCTATCATGCAACAACTATCGAGTATCGATTAAAACAAGGCTCACATATTATAGAAGGCTCACGTGGTAGAAATGGTTATCTCTCCCATACTAACAATCGACAACACAGATATATCAAATGTAAATGGCGCAGTTGCCAAGGTATTGGCTTCGGCGTCGGGGGTCGTGGTTTCGATTCCCACACGGGACAACTATTTGTGCGACCCACAGATAGTTGTTTCGCATCTGGGTGTTTGGCCGCGTGAATTTTATGTGTGTAAAAACATACGTAAAGTAAGAGCAATTTTAAAAAAAAAAGATAGTAAGAAATTATCTTAGTAAGACTCAGGCCATCTTCTTAACTTGCAAGCCCTGTTGCAACTTGTAAAGTCCTGTCGACTGAATATCTGCCCCTTTTTAATCTACGCTACGTTCGTAGCCTGCCGCATTGCATGGCCTATCCCATCTGTTATTGCGTAACACGTGTACACTTTAAATTTATTCCAATATGAGTGGCTGAGAAATTGAAGCAGGTCCGTTGGATTTGCGAAAAGTAAATTTCCACGGCGTCTGCAAAATTAATCGTGTCACTGTGACATTCAATCACATTTCAAGTAACGTTCGTTTTATGCTACGAGTTAAAATTACAGCCTTTTTACTTCCTTCACTTTTGCACATAACACATAGATATATGGAGACAACATCAATTAATAAGTTCTTTTACTAATTGAATTATTCCTTACAAATATATTTGGGTGTTCCTCTTAATTATCGATCATTTATAAAAAATATTGTGCTCCCCATTTTCATATATGGAATTTTTTCAATGTCAGGACAATTATTTTTTAAGATTACTCAAAAATTACTACGTCTTTATTTATTTTAATTGGAATCTTTCGTTAATTATCCGTAATCGCTTCCGTTATAGAATTTAAATAAACTGCTATGAATTTTCTGTATAATCTGCAATTTGACGTTCTTCTTCTTCTTCTTCTTCTTCTTTTCTTTGCTTCAATGAATACGCCAATGAACACTTCTGATTGTTTATTTTTGCCTAACTTTTATAATGAAATGATGAAGAGGATGATTTTATGAATGTTAAATATGTATATTTTTTATATATAGAATATCTAAACAAATTTACATAATTATAGCAATTACCTAGAACAAAGAAAATAAGATTGTAATTATTATGCTAAGTTCACAACTTAATATTACAACTATTAATAAAATTACATAAGATACAAATGAAGCAATTTGACGTTATTTACTAACAATGCTTGTAAGCGATAATATTATAAATAAACGTCAAATATTTAAAAAATAACATTTTAACGTGTTTATTTAATTGCGTTAGTCATTACGTTTTACTCAGAGAGCGTTATCAAAAACACAAAACATATTTGTCCAAATAATACCTTAGTTAGCTAAATTAAATTGTTGGCTTAGTATGGTCATGACCAGCATTTCAACTCGTATCTCACCATGAATAAAAATCTCAAATGAGTGTTCAGCTTAAAGCGGTGTCGGATAAATCAGAAACGAAATCGCGGGAGCGTGGCGCCAACTTTACGCGGCAAAATGTAACTCTTAAGGCTAACAAGCTGACAGCGCGACACTTCCGCAATGCACGCGGATAATGAATGCACAATAATGTTATTTAAATTATGCCGATCCAATGTCGCCAACTGGTCTTTCGCTGGCCTTGGTGGGTTGAACCCAGGCGATCGTAAAGCTGGTGCCGAGGAAAATTTGCGTTCTGCAGTTACCTCACTTGTAGTGCGGTAGAGCGGTTCAGGGTTCGGTGATAATTTAGATTTGGATAGCGAAAATATATAGGGCAAGACCATTTTTACTAACGAAAAAAACAAAACCAAATCAAATATCTCACTCTGTATTAATTTTATAATTATTTTTCAGGATTCAGTATCCCCGGAGCCCAAGATCCAATACCAATGAATAATCAAAGCAAGGAAGCACCAGCTTTCAAATAAAAAAAAAAGAATTGTCAAAATCGGTTAGTCGAAAGCTCTGAGGTAATAGTCATAAAAAAAAATACAGCCGAGTTGAGAACCTCCTCCGTTTTTTGTAGTCGGTTAAAATTCTAATATGAACGTCTAGGCCGGTACTGATATAATTCTCTTTAGTGATGCCGATCTTGTTCAACGGTATCATTTAAAACAGGCTTAACACTAACAAAACTTTCAATTAAAGTTTTATAATTGATTTCATTAAGGAAGATACGGTTCCACGGGCGTAGATCATATCGTACCGTTAAAATGCAATTATTTACTAGTCGATTGGGTAAACATAGCCTGGTTACACGCTGTTCTGTAATAACTGTGCGATGTTATTGCAACGCAGCGCGGCATTAAGTTCATCACGAATCACAAACGTCGAACTCCGGCGAAGACAGACAGCCAGAAATGGTAGCCAAGACTATCGGCTAAACGACAGTTAAGACGGGCAGTTAAACGGCGGTTAGGGCGGCGGTTCTGCCGGCCGCGCGCGCTTTACTCTTTTTGTATTCGTTCTTGCAGCTAACTTGGGAGCGGCTTGACCCATTTACCGGGAATAGACGCAGCGCGGAGTCGAACGCGGGGCCCAGCGGACACGTGCCCTGCGCCAGATATAACGCTTCACGACGCAACGGAGCCGCGCCGCCATTTGCGATCTACTGAAACTCCTTCGCCGAGGGCTTCTGAACATTTCTCGATATCAGAGAAGAAAAGATTCGCGGTGGCAAAAACGGGGGAGTTGTGTGAAATGATTTATAACATTACGGCGACATGCGAAGGGCAGACGATTTTGCTCTTTTATTTAATTTTTTGTAATGGGATTTTTTGTATGGGAATGGAACCTGCATCTCGTTCTTTTATTTCTTTTTTTATGGAGTATGAGGCAAACGGGCGAACGGGTGACCGGATGGTAAGCAAATACCACTGCCCATAGACACTTGCCACATCGGTTGGGTCACAGTTGCGTTGCCGGCCTTTGAGGTAGGAGTAGGCTCTCTTCTTGAAGGTCACTAAGTCGTAAAAACGATCGCCCGAAATGGTTATATGTATGATATGATATGAAAAATCATTTCGGCAATATGCGTAGGGAAAATGATCTTCCACTCCTTTCTCTTCACTTTGAATTTTTGTCAGGATTTAAAGCAAGTATCGTTTTAGTGTACTTGTACAGGTGCTGCTAAGCGAGTACTCTGTCTCCGAATCAAAGGACAAAAGCCCTAGTGTACGAATAAAACGACCACTGGAAGAAGCGTACAATTATTCGAAGCTTAAAATTGATTTCGTTAGGAGATTGCTGACGCTCACACGACACAAATAGACTCGATGCAGACTGCGGCTACTTTTCTTATGAGAATTTTTGAAGTTATACTTCTTGTGGCGCGTTAGGGAAAAAATATTAGAGTAAATTTTTACGAAGCGCGCGCACACCGTCACGAAAAACCGACACCCCGAAGTTAGCTAGACATCTACGTATGTTTGCGTGAGAACTGACAACTGCATTCACGATATTTATTTTGTGACACTTAAATAAACTTTATGTAACTAGATAATGCGTTATAATAAAACTTTCAATGTATTAAATACCTTTTTTTCTATTGTTAGTGTCGTTTTTTCTACAAACGTAGAATAAGGCGAAAGATAAAATTTTTCAAAAGATTCTTATCTTGTTACGCCAAAGAAGCATAAGTTCTAACGCGTGTATTATTATTTATTAATCACAATCTTATATGTCATTATATTATTTAACATTATTTAATGGACCAAAACCAATTGGACTATGCCCTGATACCCTCTGTACATGGGAGGCATTTTTAGGGTTCCGTACAATTATCTATAAAAACGTTAAAAAAAAACCATGTCTTGTATGGGAGCCTCACTAAAATATTTTTATTCGGTTTTTTAGTATTTGTTCTTATAGCGGCAACAGAAATACATCATCTGTCAAAATTTCAACCGATTCAATTTATGAGATACAGCCTGGTGACAGACGGTCAAACAGACAGACGGTGGTAATAGGTAGACAGTCTTAGTAATAGGGTCCCGTTTTACCCTTTGGGTGCGGAACCCTAAAAAGGAAACAGTGCGCACTCTTTACATACTGGCTACCTAGCTAACCTGCTTTAAAGTCAGAAAGATAATACTTTAATATTTAAATTCTGGTTCTTTTGGTTTCTAAAAAGCTATTGTAGAAAAAGTCATATATAAATCCAGTGACAAAACCAATTGGATGATCCTTGAAACATTATAATCGTTCGTATTTCGATTGAAGAATCGCCTTCTTAAATAAATATTTGATTCCTATAACTGACGATTGGAAATAGGATTGTAGTCAAACGGCACTCGATAGTCGAGTCGCTACTCCAACTAAATAGCTTAATTTTCCTCGGCCCTAATCGCATAAGTTGACGTAACTAAAAAAAATGTAACATTTGTTAGTATAAAAATAATCAGTTAATCAATAGTACCTGGAGGACCGTTTCGTTCCCTGAAAACAGGGATAAAAGGGCATTTTCTAAAAATGAAACCTAGCTAGATCGATTTTTCGCCCCCGAATCTACGCACACACTAAATTTCATGAAAATCGCTGGAGCCGTTTCCGAGATTCCGATTATATATATACAAGAATTTCTCGTTTAAAGGATAAGATTTTCAGTCGACCAACTCACAGATTTTCGGATATTGCATATATATTACTTAACGGTGGTAGGGCTACGCAGCAGCCTCGGCTGTTGCACGAATGGACAGGCTCGTCCGGATAAGTACCACGACCTCACAGAAGACCAGCGTAAAGTGGAAGTATGACAAATACTTTCGCGTTTCGTCTGTTGAGTGAGGTAGCCGGAGCCCAATTTTCAAAAGGTTGTCAACGCATCTGTAACTCTCGGGTGTAGCAGATGTCCATGGACGGCGGTATTACCGGCCATTTAACATC